AGCCCCAGTCTCCCTGACTCTATGGCCCATGCTCTTACCTGCTATGTGTACTTTACATTATAGCTCTTCTACACAATAAAATGTCCATTGGAAGCATACTTTTAATTCAAAACTATTTTTAAGTCATTGTGAGTTAGACTTTCAGGAGCGGGCAGTTGGAAAGAGCCCTGAGTCCAGGACTCCCGAAGATGGGGTTGGCAGGAGGGATGGCAGCTGGAGAGGGGCATACCTGCTCCCGCCGAGGCCTCCTGGGGACAAGCCTGGGTCCTTTAATAAGGATCCAGGATGAGTCATGGGCACTGTGGCTGCCAGAAATGCTAATGCAAAGGAGCAGTGCAAAGAAAGGGGAGGGGGCTGAGTCTTCCAGAGAAGTTCTGGACCTAACTTGGGATGCCAGGCTGATCTGTGCACTGGAGAATGTCTGCTGAAGGGCAGGCACTGCAATGGGTTGGGAGCCCTGCAGTACATGACCTTTCAGAAACTTAAGGGACAGGTGGTCAACAAGTAAACCAATAAATAGGATAGAATTTCATATAGTTGCAATAAGAAGAAAAGGAAGCAGGAAAGGATATGTGATGAGATGCAGAGCATTCTAGGGAGGGTGGCCTGGATGAGTGACTTCCCCCCACCCTTCTGGGTGGATAAAAGGTCAGCTCAGTGAAGGAGAAACCTCAGCTGCACTAATGTTAGGAATCAGCACTTGCTCTGCGCCAGCCTCCTGCTAAGCAGTTTAAAGGGGATCATTCCACTTGAAACTCTAGCTCCTTGAGGAAAGCTTCATCAGATCAATTTTTAGAAAGGAGACTAATCCGAAGCTCAGAAAGGCCCAGGTGCGTTTCCAAGGTCATTCAGCCCAGAAGGAGCTGAGGGAGGTGTGAGCTGAGCTCACGTCTCAAATCCAATGAATGAGAAGGGCTGCCGCCGAGCTGGCTGAGGCCTGGCAGCACAGAGGCTCCAGCCTAGCTGTCTGGAGGGCTTCCTGAGTTAGCATTTTCTGGTTCCCAAAACCAAAGTCGCGCCTTCCGCAGGTCCAAGCAATGTCTGTCTGGCATCCCCACCGCATCCACGGTGTGGTGCACGACGGATGTGTGTATGTGGTGGAGTTGAGAGTAACCAGCGAACCCAGGGAACTCCGCCCCGCCGGGATCCCAGAACTCGCGGGGACTTCCGTCCTGCCCTGAGGCGACCGCCTCCTGAGGTTACACCTCTGGGGCAAAACGCGGTGGCCGCTCCTTTCATAGAAGAGAGAACTAAGCCAGCGAGAATCACGGGTGATGAGACCGGGATCTGGAGGTCAGCCGGCGTCCCGGAAGACAGGCGGAAGGAACCTAACGTACAGTTCACACCCGTTGCAAAGCCTCAGCCACAGGGCAGCAAGGCGTGGCTACTTCTGCCCCTCCCCCGACCCGCGCCAAGTACACTTTGCACCTGCGCAATAAGAACGCGTAGCAGGAGGAACCCGAGGGGCGGAGTTGGCGACGTGCACGCAGGGACGTGAGGGGCAGAGCTCTAGAAGACTGGGCGCCTTTGACGGGCTGCATCGGTGAGGGGGCGGACTAAGAGGCGTTCTTGGGCGGGGACTCGAGGCCGGTTTGGAATTTTTGGCGCGAGTTGGCTCCGCGGGCGTTCACGGGCCGTTCCCCTTCCAGAGGCTCCTCTCGCCTGGTCGTAGAGAGCTGTCGACGGCAGACCCTGGCCCTTCTGACCGCCACGACGGTTCCCCGCGGCCTCTGCTGACCCGGAATCTGGGACCTCGCGGAGCTGCGCCCCGCCCACCCGCTCCTGGTGAGCCCCGACCCAGCCCTGAGGGTTCTCCGGCCGGACCGCCCTCACCTCTTCTCTCTTCTTCCCCTCGCTCCTGGCACTCCCTGCCCTCCGAGAGCTCCTCCGCTGCTCAGCTTCATCCCCCTCCCTTTTTATCCCTTGGACGTCCTCCCTCCCTGTCGGGCTGGGTCCCGCCCTGTCCCTCAGCTAACCTTTCTGTGAGCTACTCCTGCCCCGGGCGACCCCGCCCACTTTCCCTCTAGCCGCGGGGGGTGACTGACCTTGCTGCTCACCAGTCCTTCCACTGCCTCCCTTTCGCCTTTCATTTGGGAACCACAGCGACTGCCTCCACCCCCGTTACTGTCCTTCCCCAGGAAAAGCCCCACCCACATTCTATCTATAGCCCCTCCCTAAACAGCTGTTCTACTCCATTCGGTTCTCCAGGGTTTGTTTCCCCACGCCCGTGGAGGTCAATCTGCTGTTGCTTCGCCCTGTAGGAATTCACAATTCCGAGCGGTAGACCGAGGGTAGTATATGTGTCCTGTGCAGTGAGAGGGTGAGGCCTGTAGAAGCTGTAGAGGTCACCCTGGCTCTGCCTCTGCTCAGGACCACCCTGGATTCACCTTGCTCTTTCTGCTTACCCTGCCACACCCCCAAAGCTGTTTGGCCAGGCCAGTGGTAATAGAATGTAAGTGACTTGGGGATGGTTTGAGAACTGGTTTAAGATGTAGGTGGCCAGTATCTCCAAATGTGACAGGACTGGGTCTGGGGGCTGTACTTCTAACCAGTGCCCTGAGGGATTCTGACATCCCAGCTCTTAACTTTGAGAAACCCTGGAGTAGGATTCCTGAGGTAAAAGAAGCAGAGGAAGGGTCATTGCAATATGTAGGGTGAGTCTTCCAGGCAGGTACCCATGAGGGTCCCTCCCTCAGTCCTCACTCTTCCAGGGACTGGAGGGCACACTTTAGATGACTGCCCCCCTTGTTTCAGTTACTGACTCACCTCTTCTTGGGTATGGCATCTTTTGATACACTGTGGCTTCCTCTCAAAATTAAACTCCCCCCCTTTTGTTTTTTGTTTGTTTGTTTGTTTGTTTCAGTTAGAACATTATAGCAACACAAAAAGCCTTGTGTGCCCCAACATACAAAGCCACTTATACACATGGGGCTTCTGTAATTTTGTGTGTCCTTTAACAGCATTTATTGAGGAATCTGCATGCCAGACACTAGGCTGAGCCTTCCCTGAGGTTAATTTACAGGTCCACAAACCCTTGAAGCCAGGTGTGTTTGAGAATTCAAAATGCGTCAGATTTTAGAAAGCTAATAGGGTGCATGTGACATTTATATGAAACACCACCAGTGAGTCTGAGACATCATCCAATAATCAAACACATTACTATTTCTGTTGAGAAATATATGAATATGCATACCAGTTCTGACCAGATTTTTCTGCCACATGAGTTTTACATGTAAATACCCAGTTGTTCCATTTGTTGAGAAGATTGTTCTTTCCCACTGAATTGTTTTGGCACCCTTTTCACAATCAATTGACTATAAATATGAGGGTTCATTTCTGAATGCTCAATTCTATTCAATTGATCTATATATCCTTATGCAAATACCACATTTTTATTACTGTGGCTTTGTAGTAAGTTTTGAAATCAGAAAGTATGAGTTCTCCAATTTCATTCTGATTGTTTTCGACTATTCTGGGTCTGGTGAATTTCCATAGGAATTTTAGGATCAGCTTGTTAATTTCTGCAAAAAAAATCCAGCTGGGATTCTGATAGAGATTGTGTTGAATCTGTAGATTAATTTGGAGAGTGTTGTCATTTTATCCATGTTAAATCTTTGGATCTATGAACATGTAATATCTTTTCATTAATGGGGTGAAGCAAAAGCAGGTTTACAGTTGTATGGAAAAGAATACAATAACTAATAAATAGTACAAGAATAAACTCTGTTTCACCTACTCAATACTGCAAACCTACTTTTGCCCCACCATGTATTTAGGTTGTCTTCAATTTCCTAAAGAAGCTGAGGGAACTCCGGCCTGTGTGGCTCATTTGGTTGGGCATTGTCCCATAAAGCTAAAAGTCACCAGTTCAACTCCCAGGTGGAGCACATACCTGGGTTGTGGGTTCGGTCCTGGGTCAGGGAATGTGCAGAAGGCAAACAATTGATGTTTCTCTCTCACATCAATGTTTCTTTCCCTCATTTTCTCCCTCACTTCCCCTCTCACTAAAAAATAAAAAAATTAAATTAAAAAAAATTAGACTCAAAGGGCAGATAAAGAGCTTCACAGACAAGAAAAAAAACTAAAGGAGTTCATCATCACCAAGCTATTATTATATGTAATGTTAAAGGGACTTAAGCAAAAGAAGAAGATCAAAACTATAAACAGTAAAATAGGCAATAAATACATATCTATCAACAATTGAATCTAAAAAAACAAAGCAAAAAGAAGCATGGAGATGGAATCATGGATACAGAGAGCATTTTGATGGTTGCTAGATGGGGGGGGTGTAGGGGAATGGGTGAATAGGCAACAGTATTAAGAAGTACAAATAAGTAGTTACAGAATAGCTATGGGGATGTAAAGTACAGTATAGGAAATGGAGAAGCCAAAGGATGTCTATGCATGAGCCATGGACATGAACAATGGTGTGGGGAGTGCCTGAGGGAGTCGGGGGTGCTGGATGGAAGGGGGCAAAGGGGGAAAAATCAGGACAACTGTAATAGCATAATCAATAAAATATAATTTTTTAAAAATCTGAGGGAAGAAAAGAAAGAAAGTATATATGCATAACATTTGTTATAGTGACCTTATTTACTGCATCTGGTTCTCTTCATTTGTTCCTGTAGGTCTGAGTTACCATCTGGTATCATTTTCTAGTCCAATAGTATTGTTCCCACCTACCACCTTTGTGCGGTTATGTGCAAGTATGTCAAATATCTTTATGTTATATGCCCAACAATGCAATTATATACGTATCATTTTATACAGTTGCTTTTTAAAATTATTTAAGAGAAGAAAGAAGAAATATGCATGTATACTTTTTTTATATTTCATAATTACCTTTACTAGTGCTCTTTGTTTTTTCACGTAGGTTAGAATCATTGTTTGGGATCATATGCTAAAGAATTTTCTTTAGTTTTTCTTGTAAAGCGGATCTTTTGGCAATGAATTCTTTCTGTTTTTGTTTATCTGGGAATGTTTTTATTTTGCCTTTATTTTTGAAAAATAGTTTGTTGTTGGTGGAGGAAGATGGCAGCCTCCTGGGGTGTATCCCTAAAGGTGGTGGCACTGAGAGCAGTCACCCCCTGGTGGAGTAGCAGGCTCCGTGAGGCCTCTGTCAGACCTCAGGCGCTTTGGGAAGCAGCATCCTCCAGCCCCAAGGCTGGTGAAGGGCAGATCCATCTCACGGAGAGCTGCATCCAGGGTATTTGAACAGGGTGGGGGCAAGAGTAGTGGTTGACTCTGATAGCTTGGCCTTCGTGAAAGGGGCCCAGGTGGACTTTGGCCAAGAACTGATCTGAAGCTCATTTCAAGTGTTGAATAATCCTCAAGCACAGAAAGGCTGCTCCTGTGGGTCATCCTTCTCTGTCAAACTTTGATTAGATGACAGGTGACCCAGAGATTGCCACCATTGGTACCAATTTGAGGAACCTGGGATGAGTAGAATTTTAGTGGTTTCCTTCCAATCATGTTCCTCTCTTAATTTTATTTCCCACAATCCAGGAGTGTTGTGTTTCTCTTATTTTCAGAATGTGAAGCTTTTACTCTTGACTTAATTTCCCCTGTACAATTTTAAGGCCAAGGCTCTAGTTGCTATTACCTAATATTTAATAACTAGTTGAAGCCCAGTATAATCTGTAGAGCCTCCAAGGTTCTAAAAGTTGAGTTACTTCTCTGGCCTTCAGAACTGCTTGTATAGCTATGTATAAAAGCTTCATTTTAAAGAAAAAGAAAAAAAGAAAAATAACTTGTTGGATATAGGATTCTTGGTTGACAAATTCTCCCCTCACACTTTGAGCATCTTATCCTGTTGCCTTCTGACCTACATTGTTTCTGACGAGAAGTCAGCAGTTAATCTTATGGAGAGCTTTGTAAGTGATGAGTCATTTTTCTCTTGCTGCTCTCAAGATTTTCTCCTTGTTTGGTTTTCAGCACTTTTAGTATGTGTTTGTGGATCTTTGCTTTTATCCTACTTGAAGTTTATTGAGCTTCTTTGCTATGTGTTTTTCTAAATTACATTTGGAAAGTTTTTATCCATTACTTCTTAGCATATTTTTCCTGCTCCTTCTCTTCTTCTGGTGCACTCATTATGCTTATGTTGATACACTTATTGGTGTCATACATTTCTCTCAGATTCTGTTCCTGTCATTCTTTTTTCTCTGTGTTCTTCAGATTGTATAATTTCTTTCAATCTGTCTTCAAGTTTACTAATTATTTCTTCTGCCAGTTCAAATCCACTGTTTAACCTCTCCAGTGAATTTTCATTTCAGTTATTGCACTTTTCAGCTCCACAATTGCCATTTGATTCTTTTAATAATTTCTACCTTATTATTAATATTCTCTATTTGGTGAGATGTCATTGTGCTTCCTTTACTTTAAGCATGGTTTTCTTTTGTTCATTGAACATGTTTACAATGGCTACTGTGAAGTCTTTGTCTATTACATCTGACATCTGGTCCCTCTTAAAGGCAGTTTCTGTTGCCTTCCCTCCACCCCCGTGTCTTTGCACAATTTGTAATTTATTTTTGAAAACTGGACATTTTTAAAAATTGATTTGAGAGAGAGAGGAAGCAGGAGAGAGAAACAATCACTTGTTGTTTCACTTATTTGTGCACTCGTTGGTTGCTTTTTGTATGTGCCCTGACCAGAGATCACACCTGTAACCTTGGCATATTGGACAGTTCTTTAACCAGCTGAGCTACCAGCCAGGGCCTTCAGGTCATGGATGTTTTAGATAATACATTTTAGCCACTGTGCATATTGGTTCCTCACCAACCCCTCTGGGGCTTGTGATTTTTTAAAAAAAATTTTTAATTGATTTTTAAAGAGAGGAAGGGAGGGAGGGAGAGAGAGAGAGAGAGAGAGAGAGAAAGAAATCTCTATTTGCTGTTCTACCCATTCATGTACTCATTGCTTGACTATCACATGTGCCCCAACTGGGGATCAAACCTTCAACACCAGCACATTGGGATGATGCTCCAGCCAACTGATCCACCCAACCAGGGCTTTTGTGTGAGTGTATGTGTGAGAGATTGTTTTTTGATTTTTGTGTTTTGTTTTGTTTTGTTTTTGCTGTATCTATTTGTTTAGTGACTGGATGGGCCATTGTAGCAACATCTCTTTCTGCAATATGAAGTCTCTGACATTGCTCCTTAGAGAGTCCAGCCTGACACATGTCCATAGTCAACCTGGGATGTGCACAGTCAACCTGGGACACCAAGAATTTTGGAGGGCTTTCTTTATGCTTTCCCTGATCATATCCATCAGTTAGGCTACCTGAATTTCTGGCTGTCTTCTCTATTGTTTTTGCCCTGGAGTATCAATTGTTCTGTAGACTGATCTAATTAAATGTGGGCTCCTTTACCATGGTAGCTTTTTAATTCAGTGTTTGAACTTTGTTCTGACCCCAGGAAGGCTCTTCTTAGCTATCTCTTTCCCTGATTGTCTCTGGTAAACTAGCTGGCCCATGGTTTAGATTTTTGTGATAGTGGAATCCAGCCACCTTCTATTTGCTTACCACCCAAAACTCAATTGATTTTTTAAAAAAACTTTGTATCTATTGATTGATTTTTAGAGAGGAAGCAGGGAGAGAGAAATATTGATTAGTTGTTTTACTTATTTATGCATTTGTTGATTGTTTTTTTAACTTGAAAAAAATTTAAAGATTTTATTTATTTTTAGAGAGGGGAAGGGACGGAAAAAGAGAGGAAGAGAAACATTAATGTGTGTTTGCCTCTTGTGCACCCCATACTGGGGACCTGGCCTGCAATCCAGACATGTGCCCTAGACTGGTAACTGAACTAGTGACCCTTTTGTTCACAGGCTGGCACTAAATCCACTGAGCCACACCAGCCAGGGCTCAAAAAATTTTTATTGTTTATGCTATTACAGTTGTCCCAGTTTTTCCCCCTTTGCCCCCATTGGGTGATTCTTGCGTGCCCTGACCAGGAATCAAACCTGCAACCTTGGTATGTGGGGATGACATTCCAACCACCAGAGCTACCCCTCCAGAACCTAAACCTCAATTAATATTTTTTAAAAAGATTTTATTTATTTTCAGAGAGAGGGGAAGGGAGGGAATAAGAGAGGGAGAAATACATCAGTGTGAGAGAGAAACATCAGTTGGCTGCCTCTCAGATGCCCACAGCCAGGGACCCGGCCCGCAACCCAGGCATGTGCTCTGACTGGGAATTGAACCAGCGACCCTTTGGTTCACAGGTTGGTGCTCAATCCACTGAGCCACACCAGCCAGGGCTCAATTGATTTTTGAGAGCACCTTTAAACTTGAACTTCCCATATTCTCTTTGAAATAAAGTCAGGTCTTTGGGGCAGGGACGTGACAGAGAGAGAGCTTCAGAGCTCTCTGATTTTTGGTTTTTTAATTTAAAAATATTTGTATTTGATTGATTTGTTGTTCACTTCTTTGTGCATTCATTGGTTGATTTCTGTTATGTGCCCTGACCAGGGATCAAACCCACAACCTTAGTGTATAGGGGTGATACACCTATACTAGCTGAGCTATAAACTGTTTTACCCTGTCTCTCCTTAGGCAAAATCTCTGAGCTGCAGCTCTGGAGCTAGGGGAAGGGACAGTTATACCCATCTCCCTGAGTGACACTGCTGCCTTAGGGTGAAGGCAGCAGCCTCTGGCCTTCTCAGCTTGTCTTTCCCAGTGTAGAACCTCCTTTGAAATAATGAGCTGGAGTTTGAGTGATTGGGCTGCAGTATTCATAGCCTACTAGACCTAAGGCAGAGCTTCCACCTTATCAGTAGGGGCTGGTGGAAGGAGGGAGCCTTCTCTGCTCCACTCAGCTGGAATTTGGCCTCCGCAACACAGAGCTGAAAGTGAAACTCTACTACATGAGTTTTAGCATCACAACTATGAAAAAGAAAGCAAGAAACTTTTGAAATCAGACCTTCTTTTTCCACTTTGGAATTAGAGGTAAGGGGGTGTGGGTCTGTGTGAATATCTCCCCCTTACAGTCTTGGAAGAGATTGCATATGTTAATGTCAAATAGCAGCTGTGACAAGGAGGGGATTGTGTGCACATACAGTATGGCTCCAAAACCTGCCTTGTTTTGACCTCTGCTAGACTGTGGGAGCCTCTGGGCCAAGGCCCCATGCATTTCAGTGTGTTTCTGTGACCTCCAGGTACAGACACATATGTGCGGGTTTGTAAATATTTGTTCTTTGCCTTTTTCTGGCAGGTGCTCGTGTCCTGACGGTCTCCATGTTCAAAGCAGAACATGTGTGCAGAGTAGCCGTGGCTTTCTTTCACAGCCTCTCTGGGGCCACAGGATAAGGAGCCATTTGAGTGGACACACTGTTCTGTACTCTACCTCTTAGGGCCTACTGTGCTGGTCATGCCTGTGCCCACAGAGGGCACCCCTCCGCCCCTGAGTGGCACCCCTGTCCCAGTCCCAGCCTACTTTCGCCATGCAGAACCTGGCTTTTCCCTCAAGAGGCCCAGGGGGCTTAGCCGGACCCTTCCTCCCAGGCCCCCTGCCAAGGGCAGCATCCCCATTAGTCGCCTCTTCCCTCCTCGGACCCCAGGCTGGCACCAGCCCCAGCCCCGGAGTGTGTCATTTCAAGGCAAAGCCTCTGAGACACTGCAGAGCCCAAGTTATGATCCAAGCCGGCCGGAGTCCTTTTTTCAGCAGAGTTTCCAGAGGCTTGGCCGCCTGGGCCATGGCTCTTTTGGAGAGGTCTTCAAGGTAAGTGGAGTGGCAACTCTATGGGCCTATTTCGAGGGGCCCCCTTGCCTACCTACCACTGCCTGGATAGGATAGTATCCTGGGAAGCTTGCTCTCCATCTCTTCACCTGTCCTGGGCTGACAGGTGGCCCTCGTCAGTACTTGACTTGGCTGTTTTCTTATAACCCCCCCACAGGTCTCTTTGACAGCACCTTCAGTGCACACTCTTACCTTTTTGAGAGTCTGGCACACCTGGTAGTGGCTCCTGCCACCCTGGCTACCATCTCCTCCCACCCATGCTGGTGGAGCCAGCCATGCTGGGGTTCTTGGCGAGCTCTGCCCTGCCCCCAGAGCCAGCCCCCAGAGTTCAGTACATACCCTGCCCCCTGCCATCCCCTAGGCCGCAGACACTTAGGCTATGCCCTGTATGCCACCTTTTCTTTTCTGAAAATATATTTTCCAATAATTTCTATATCCTTTTAAATGGTAGTTTTCCTTATACAAGCACTACAAACAACATGGGCTCCTAGATTACTTTTCTTTTTATTATATTTTTTTCCCATTACCATTTATCTCCCTTATAAACCAGCCCCTCCACCCTAGATTAATTCTTCCCAGAGGAAACCACTGAGGTTCTCAGGTGGGCATTCTTCCTTCCAGAACTTTCTCTGCATCTCCAGACTTGACCATATAGAGATAAGCCCATTAATAATCTACACAGTGGATCACACTGCCTGTATTGTTCTGTAGCCAGCTTGTTTCACTTCACAATAATCTGAGCGACCCTCTGAGTTAGTACTTAGATGTCTGCCTTGTCTCTTCCTTGTTGGCCTGCCAGTGAACCAGCATCTGGTCTTGCGATTGCATGTACAGGGGTCCCTCTAAGGTAGATACCATACTGCACCTTCTGCACATGTAAAATCTTAATAGAATCTGCTGGATTGTTCTGCTAAATGGTTGGGCCACCCCCCCACCCCACCTGTGGGTACTATCTTCCTTCCAGGTGCGCTCCAAGGAAGACGGCCAGCTCTATGCAATAAAGCGCTCTATGTCACCATTCCGGGGCCCCAAGGACCGGGCCCGAAAGCTGGCTGAGGTCAGCGGCCATGAGAAGGTGGGGCAGCACCCACGCTGTGTGCGACTGGAGCGAGCCTGGGAGGAGGGTGGCATACTGTACCTGCAGACAGAGCTGTGTGGTCCCAGCCTACAGCAGCACTGTGAGGCCTGGGGCACTGGCCTGCCTGAGACCCAGGTCTGGGGCTACTTGCGGGATACCCTCCTTGCTGTGGCCCACCTGCATGGCCAAGGCCTGGTCCACCTTGACATCAAGCCTGCCAACATCTTCCTGGGGCCCCGGGGCCACTGCAAACTGGGTGACTTTGGGCTGCTGGTGGAGCTAAATGCATCTGGAGCTGGTGAGGCCCAGGAGGGAGATCCCCGCTACATGGCCCCTGAGCTGCTGCAGGGCTCCTACGGGACAGCAGCCGATGTGTTCAGGTAAAGGCTGGGCCGTGGAAGGCTCTTCCTGGATGGGGTACAGTAGCAGAGGGAGGGAAATGCCATCGTAGCCCAAAGTTAGGGAAATTTGGCCTCTAGCTGGGAGACAGTACCCTGAGAGGGTGAAGGCCCCACCCTCTAATTGAAGGGGTTCTACAGAGTCAGGCTAGACAGTGAACCATCAGGAGCTGCCTTACTAGATTCACCCATCTCTTTACCACATCTCCACAGAGGGACTATTACTACTCCATTTACAGGGGAATGGGTACAGGGGGGTTAAAAAACTTGTTCAAAGTCCAGTTAGTAGGTAGTGAAGTTTGGACTGGACCAGGCTCTGGGATCCATGGTCCATGCCAGTGACTGTTGCTCTACCTCTAGCAGTCTATCCAGCTATATCCACAGGACCCTAATATTAACACTAATAACCATAGTGCCTGTCAGGTGGAGGTGCCAGGAGGACTCTACAGTCATGTTGGGCTGTGCTGGGCACTGGGTCCATCCTTCACAATATGTTCCCATCATTGACTCTGCTGGGGCCTTCTCAGAGCCCCCAGTCCCTCCTCCATCTCCCTGGCTCATGGTGGAAGACAGCAGCCCTTCCCCACCCTCTTCTCAGGGGCATCCTGGGACTCTGGGATCTGGCTCCAGGCCAGCCTTGCCTAACTTCTGTGTCTTTCTCCATCCCTACCCTCTGCCCCCCAGTCTGGGTCTCACCATCCTGGAAGTGGCCTGCAACATAGAGCTGCCTCATGGTGGAGAGGGCTGGCAACAGCTGCGGCAGGGCTACTTGCCCCCAGAATTCACTGCGGGTGAGTAGGGGGCAAGGATGGGAAGGGACATTGTGCCACAGGGAGACCAGACTCAAGTGGAAGAGAATGGCAGGCTCTGAGGGACTGCTGGGTTCAGGGCCCAGTCACCCTTGACAAGGCCCTGCCCCATGGACAGGCCTGTCTTCTGAGCTGCGATCTGTCCTCATGATGATGCTGGAGCCTGATCCCAAGCTTCGGCCCACAGCCGAGGCCCTGCTGGCCCTGCCTATGCTCAGGCAGCCACGGCCCTGGAATGTCCTGTGGTACATGGCTGCTGAAACCCTGAGTCGAGGGTGGGCCCTGTGGCAGGTAAGCCTGGTGAAAGTGACAGGCTGTTCTATTCCGCTCCCTGGCTCTGGGGTCTGCCTAGCCTCCCTCGGCTCCCTGTCCCCACAGGCCCTGCTTGCACTGCTATGCTGGCTCTGGCATGGGCTGGCTCGCCCTGCCAGCTGGCTGCAGCCCCCAGGCCCTCCAGCCACCCCGCCTGGCTCACCGCCCTGCAGCTTCCTCCTGGACAGCAGTCACTCCAGCAACTGGGATGACGACAGCATAGGGTGGGTGAGAGCTCAGGACTGATGAGTGGGGGTGGGGAGATGGGCTGTTACCATGGCCAAACCCCATACAGAAGCCAGGCTTCCCTGGAATTAGTGGTGGACAGGGACCCCTCCCACAAACCTGGCCCCCATCATACCCTGGGGAGGGCACCAAGGCTGATGGGAGTGCAGCCTGGCCTGGTTTGAATGCAGTTGCTTATTCTAAGCTTATTGAGTGGAATGGCCACTGTGCAGAACTGGCAACTTCATGCTTAGGGCGCTGCCACACTAGGGAGCAGCTGGAGGGCCACAGCCCCCAATGGGAGAGGGAGGCAGTGCAGCACCAACCCCAATAGGGGCTGCCAGTGCCCAAGAACAGGGCACTGTCCTTTTTGGGGGACAACGTTTACAGAATCTGGCGAGCCCCCAACCTGGGAGGAATTCCTTAGTCCAAGGTACTGGGTAGCCAAGTAAGGGGCTGTAATTAACCTGTGGCAAAGGAAAAACCACATCCTGAGGGCAGACAGTTCTCAGGAGGAATCACACCATTAACCCCTTATGAAAATGTCACCCCATTGTCATAGGGACACTTTATAGCTGACATGAAGTACCAAATAAGCTGCATTTAGCACAGGTTCACTTCAAAGTGAACTCATTCGAAGTCCATGTGTTCTGAAAAGGGACAGAGGTGGCCTTTGAGTGTGATCAGGTAGACGTTAGAAGTTGATTTAGAAGTAGAAAATGATTCTTTGAAAGGGCACTCTACTTCCCTTGTCCCCAACTGTGGCCCCTGCCTGTGTTCAGCAGGAGCCTGCACAGGGACAGGGTTGATCTTGCTCTTCCCAGGGCCCCCTCGCCATACACTCGCCACTGCTTGACACCCTGCTTGTCTCTCTCGCCCTGTGCAGGCCCTCGCTCTCTCCAGAGGCCATCCTGGCCAGGGCTGCCAGGAGCACCTCCACCCCCCAGAGCAGGCACACACTGAGGTGAGTGGGCCTAGGGTCAAAGATAAGGAGGCGAGTCTTCTGAATCTTGAGTGTCATTTCTCTCCCTTCTTTCCCTCCAGGGATGCCCTGGACCTAAGTGACATTGACTCTGAACCCCCGCAGGGCTCCTTCCCCTCCTTTGAGCCTCGGAACCTCCTCAGCCTGTTTGAGGACTCAGTGGGCCCCACCTGAGCCCAGACAGCCCTGGTGCTTTTAACCTTTGAATCCCTTGCCCCATCCTCCTGGAGGCTGGGGTCCCTCTGCGAACTCCAGTGGTCTCTTCTGCCTGGCCACGTCTAATAAAACATATCTGAATCTTGGGAGCACCCAAGCTTTTTTGCATGGCAACACAGGGCTTTCTGCCCATTTTATTGACATCACCCAGGGTCTGAAGGCTCTGGGATGGGTTGAGGCTGAGCCCTGAAGCAGGGCCTCAGGCCAGCAGATTGCAGCTGGGAGCCCCATGCTGTATGGAACAGATTTCCTGAGCAGGTATGTCCCTGGTGGGCAGGTTGAGTTATCAGCGCATGACATTCAATGTGGAGGGTGGGCCCCCAGCCACGTGGGGCCCAGTCCAGGGCCACTCAGCTCTTTACATCTGGGCCAGTTGCCTGGAAAAAGCAGCAGCAGTCCTCCTGCCCCTTATTCCTGGGGTCAGGGGATAGTCCTGTTGCCCAAACTCCCCACTCCACAGTCTGGACAAAAGGGAAAAAGGGTAGGTGAGCCTCAGGTTGCTAGGAAGGCTGGTGTGCAGGGCTGAAAGCTGGAGGTCAGGAATCATGGGCTGGTGGCCCGGCCAATCACCCATATGGTACCTTATGTGAGGGTCTGAGGAGGGGCAGGGTGGGGCTTTGGCCCTGGGCTGGCAGGACTCCAGCTGTCAGAGCAAGCAGGACTTGACCCCAGAGTCCCTCTGGCCCAACCCTCATATGTCACAGAGGGTAAGCCGAGGCCCTGAGAAGGACTAGTTTCCTTCTAGCCTGCACAGGAAGACAGTACCCTGGAAGAAGGCAGGAAAGGATGCTGGAGCTCAAAGGTGTAGAGGAGAAGAGGCTCCATGGGGGAGAATAGGTGAACAGACAAGGGCTAGGAAGCATCCAGGGAGCCAGCCCCTTGCAAACCAGCAGGAGGAGGGAAGCCTGTTGCTGTTAGCCCTAGAAGACTGGGCAGGCTGGCATGTTGTGTGGGTGGTGGCTCAGTCTGGGGGGCAGGCGTGGTGGGCGGCCCAGAGCAGGTCAGGCACGACACCAGCGTGCAGCTGAAGGATGGAGCCCACACTGAGCAGGTGCATGATCTGGTGCGAGTTGCCCCAGTAGTCGAAGCGGCCTGGTCCCCAGCGCTCTGGCAGACGGGCCACGTTCACTAGCCCCCCAAGCAGTGCTAGGGCATCCATGCGCAGGTAGCAGGGCAGGGAGCCTGGAGCTCCAGAGCCCAGCCCCACTCCCCGAGCTCCAAACACCAGGAGGCGGGCACCAGCCTGCCAACCAAAAGCTCGGAGTCGGGCACTGGTGGAGGGGGCAGTAAGGGCCCTCCAACCAGCCACACCTGACAGCATGGTGTAGCCCACCAGGGCAGCTGGGCGAAGCCAGGGCCTGCAGGCCAGTGTGCAGTGGATGATGGGCAGGGCTCCTGCAGAGGAGAGAGCAGGAGAGGGCACATCAGTCTAGGGGTCTGTCTGCCCTTTCTACCCAGGATTCATGTGAGTGTCCCCGGCTGCCCCCTCCCAACTTGCCCCACAGCTTCCATCCTTGTAGCCCCCACCCCCCACCATCCTTTGGCTCACCGAGGGTGTTGACAAGGCAGACCCCACACATATCCAGGGCAAGGAGCCGAGTGTACACAGGGCTGCCCCCTTGGTGGCACATGAAGAGATGGTAGAGCACAGAGCCTGCAGGTGGTGCCAGGCAGGCCACACAGTGTGTGCCCCCCAACCAGCCATCCTTGCCCAGCTGACCCCAGGGCATGGTCATTGGCAGCAGCACCAGGAAGCCCAGCAGGGCCAGCCCTGGGGGAGGGAGACAGTTATCCATCACACAACTTCAGCATGGAGGACAGGTCATGTCCTCAGGAGTCCACAGTCTAGAGACAACATGAGAGGAATGAGAGCAAGACAGGTTTTGACAACAGTGATAGACAACTATTGCCAGACCTGGGACAGAGGCAGACCCTGGGCTTTCAGGAACTTTACTTACTCAGCAGAACTCAATAGTTCTGGAAGTAGAAGAGAGCATATCCCCACTTCACAGGTGAAGGAACTGAGTAACCTGTCCCAGGTGACTCCAGCAAGTAGAAGAGAGCCCAGGCAGTCTTAACTCCCAAGCTGCTCTCACCCCTGCAGCCACATCAACTCCCTGAAAGCAAGGGACCTCAAACCCCCCAACCTGGCCTCCATGTGTCAGCAGAAGCCAGAAGGCGGTGTGACTTGAACTGAGTTCTGAAAAGGATGTGTGGGCAATGATACCAGATCCCAGGGCCACTTGGCTTGTTCCTCTGAACACCCCCCCACCCCTCCACACCCCCCGTCTCTCCTCTCCATAAGTAACCAGACAAATGAAGGCTTTGGGCCCTTCTGTCTTCTAAAATGGGCTAGGCCAGGCAGGAAAAAGGGGTTGGAAAAGAGCTTGTTCCATCTTCTCCCCAGGCACCTCCTCTGGGAGCTCCATTCCTCCCATCCCAGGTGTTCTACCCCTCCCTGCTGGCACTCTGGCATTGCCTCACAGAGGTCAAAGGTGGGCACAGCAGGCTTGGGCCTCTGGCTGCCCATTATCGGCAGGGTCTGGCCAGGTCACAGTCCTTGAATGGGGTAGGTACCAAGGCTAGGCCCAGCCCACTCAGGGCCCCCTCTCTTGGTCAGCGCAGCTCCGTGGGGCCTCAAAGGAGGGGCCCCGCGCCTATGGAGGTGTCACCACCAGGCGGAGTCCCAAAACCGTGTTGTTCCGGAAAGGGTTGGCAGGGCGGCCGTGAGGGGAGGGGCCGGCGCCTGACTTTTCCTCCTGGACCCCTTCTCACCCAGGTCTGGGAGGGGTGCTGGCGGGGAAAGTGCACAGGGGGCAGGGATTATGAAGGGGCAGGACATCAGGCTCCCCGGGGCTCAGAGGGATTAAGCAGACACGGTCCCCCACTCTGTTTCCCTCTCCTGCCCCGGGGGCCCTGCCAGGGTAGCGGAAGCAGTCAGTGCCGTCCGGGACAATGGCAGCTTTGTCACCGCGGCTCCTGGCTGTGCCAGGACAGGGGCAGCCCAGGACCTGGTCGCTGAAGCGCTCCTTGGCCTGCTCCTCGGCCTTGGGCCCCCCCGCCCGGCGCAGGCAGGGCTGCCGCTCATATGGGATATGGGGTGCAGCTCACCGTGCGTGTAGATGTTGCCCAGCTCGTTGTGCAGGTAGAAGAGGCTGCGCAGACAGCCCGAGCCGCTGCTGGCTGGACGGTAACCGGTCAACACGAACTTGTTGAACTGCAGGTGTGGCGGAGAGCTGGCCCAATCCAGCAGGCGCGGCCCAGCCAGGAACGCCATGGCCCGGCCCGGCTGCGGGCGGGCCGCCCTCCTCTTACACCCTACCCGGCCTCCTCAGTGGGGCAGCAGCAGCAGGAGGCTCATCCCAGCGCCTGCCCACGGTCCAGAGCACAGCAAGCGCACACGCTGGCCTGGGGTGTCTCCGCTCTCACTCCGCTGCGCAAGCGCGGGTCCCGCGCCCCTGCGTCAGCCCGCCGGGCTGCAGTGCGCCCAGCTCCGCCTGGGCAGGCGCACCATAGGAACAGTTCAAGGAGGCGGCAGCGGGCCAGTGGTCTCTGGAGCCCTGAGGACGGGTGCGGCCGGACGAGGGAGGGAACGCAAGACTCCGCCCCAGCTGGCCACCCCCGCCATCCCACCAGCGTAGAGGCTGCAAGGGCCAATGGCTACGGCTGGTGGGGAGGCCCCGCCCCAGGGCCACCCAGGCCTTCACCCTTTTAGCATGATATCTGCGGTGCCAGTCTTATTTGCATGGAGTGGCTGTTCACTTGGGACCCGACATTTTGGGTCCCAGTAGCTTTTGCCAGAGTGACCCTGACACCTCGCGTCCCCCTGAAGTGCGTGCCCTGGCATTACGTGCGACCTCCAGGTCAATGCACCCTTGGGCACCCACCCTCCCCGGCACAACCTCACCACCCAGCAACACCCCCGCAGTCTGGGCTCTGTCCAAGGTGCTGCCGGCCCGGAACGTTTTTTTGGACAGGTCAGGTCTAGAGCGGGCGTGCCCCCACTCCAGGATGATCTCTCTACGGGCCAGACTTCCCCGGAGCGCAGCAAGGCGCACTGAGATGTCCAAGCTCCTAAGAGTGTGCCTGAACGCCCGGAGCCCTCGAGTTAGGCTTCTTTGAACTTGAGCTCGACCAAACCCTTTCCCTGTTATCACCCACAAGGTGCACCTTCAGCTCCGCCCAGGACATTGGGGAAATGGAGGGGAAGAGAGAAGGCAAATAGCCAGGGGAGAAAGGTCAGTCCCCGCCTGGTTTCATACTAAGGCGGGCCCAGGAAGGCATTCCTTCTACCGCTTAGCCTGGACTTTTTCTCCCCTTCCCCCGGATGCAGCCCATCCCATCCTTCGGCCTGGGCGATTCCTCAGTCCTCTGCATTTCAGGCTGCTCCAGAAACTGCATGGAACACCCTTAATGTGCATGGACATACCCAACTCTTGGCTCCAGTGTTCTCAACATAACTTCCCACCGCTTAGAAATTTGCAGAGCCCTACACCAAAATAGGTCCTTTATTTAAAGTCCAACTGGTCTTTTGACCACTTTTGTTGATCTCTTATATTTGAGTTAAAGCAGCAGTCCAGGACCACCCCAAAAGGGGCTCAAAGATCCCTGAAGTCAGAGACCTCTGTATCAAGGTCTATGAGTAGGGGAGCTCATTCCTCTTGTCATTTGGCCTCAACAAATCTGGGCACCTAGAGTCAGGCCAAGTTCCCAATAATAGAACCAGATGCTTCCTGTCAGATGTCTGGCCTCTGAGAATTGACCAGAGGCAGAAGATGTCCTTTAAAAAATGGAAGGCCAAGGTAGAGTACAGCATAACTTTTCAGGTGTCCATTCCACTGTTGGAGGATCCAGTGGACCCTGGGAGTCTTGAGTCAGAGAGCGGAGATGAGTGAACGCAAGGAACTTTGGCTGGAGGCACTCAGCGGGCGGTAACTTGAGGCTAGACCCTCCACCGGGAGGTCCCCAGGGGGGCGGGGCAGTGCCACCCTTCCAGGACGGTGGTACCACACAGCCCAGCTTCTCCCGGAGCCCTGGGAAAGCCTCAACGCTGAGGGCCCTTTTCCTGGAGCCAGCAGACAACTCCTAGAGAGGGGAGCAGATGTCAGCTGAACACCCAACCAGTCTCACCTCCAGCATCCTGCTTCGCCTGCGATCTCAGGCATGACTCCCTGTGTGGACCTAAGTATTTGTCCCTCAAGAACTTAGGAGTTCCAGCTCCGTTCCCCTCCTGGGCCCCAGCTTCTCACCATTTTCTCTAACCCCCCTCCCCCACCACCCCTGCCCCACTCCTGGGCACCGAGGTGTTAGGTGTCCCAGCGCGCACACCGTTGGCGCAGGAGTGACAGCAGCAGCAGCAGCAGCAGCAGCAACACTGAGACGGCCATCACTGTCGAGAAGACTCGGGCTGTGGGCACATGGGTGCGGTGAGAACAGGGCTTCCAAGAGTCTGCTTCCCAAACTCACTCCCGCCTCAAGCGTCCGGCTCACCCCCCATCGAGGCCTCCGGAGCCCCAGGCCGGGGGCTGCAGCTCACATTGGTCCCGTCCGGGAGCGCTGCAGGGGTCTGGGCAGAGCCCTTGGGAAGCAGCAGGTTTTCGGCCTTGTCTTGCACACCTGCGGAGAGGGGTGTGAGGCAAGGGGGCCGGGTGACTGGCCCAGGGGGGGTGGGGTGGGACCTCACCGCGGTAGGTGAGCGCGAAACCCTGTGCGTGGCCACGCGCATCGCTGCGGAAGGTGAGCAACAGCGCAGCGGTGCTCAAGCGAAGAGTCCCGGGTGGGGGCGGGCGGGCGCCGTCGAAGGTGCGGAGCAGGCTGCCCGAGGCCGCGTCGCGCAGCTCCAACCGGTCGCGCGGGTCAGCTAGCTCGAAGAGGCGGAAGGTGAGCTCCAGCGCGGCGCCCGGAGGACCAAGTGCCCAGCTGCAATTCTGGTCTGGCCCGTACTCGTCCGGGAAGTCCGGGGAGTAGATGACGCCCTGAGGTGCAGTCCAGTTCCCCTGACAGGAGCCCACTGACACTGTGGGCGGAGTCGACGGTCGGAACCCCGAGACCCGCCGGCTCCACCTGCACTGGGCGGGGCTCCACCCAGAAGTCCCGCTCCTTTCCAGCTAGGCCGCCCACCCAGGCTGACCCAACAGTTTCCTCCGGCCCCTTCTTCTGTAAGTTAACATTGACCGCCTCCTCAAATCCTGCTCTCAACTCCAGACCCTGCCCTTGGCTCCCAGGTTCAGCCCAGTCCCCTCCGCGGGCCTTGCCCTCAACCCAATCCCTTCACAGGCCCCGCCCATAGCCACAGCCTCTCCTTCCCGTATTTCCCACATTTCCCACATTTCGCCCCCTCACCCAGGCCGCTCATCTCTGTCCTTGCCTTACCTTCGTAGATGCCCAGGCGCCCATCGCCGCCACACAGCTGGCCCGGATGGCCAAAGCAGATCTGGTCACAGTCGGTGGCCGGGGCCGGGCGTCCCCGGGCCAGGTCGCTTTCAGAGCCACAGAAGCAGGCGTAGCCAGCTTCCACACCCGCCAGCTGGGAACATAGACAGCGTGACGCCAAGGGCAGGGTCTGGGGTAAGGATGGGGGAGTGGGAGCCAGGGGTCGGGCTTGGAAGTGGGAATCGGACTGGAGGTTCAGAAATCAGTGCCAAGGTTTGGCGTCAGAGTTGGGAGTTGTTTTCAGTCCCGATTTTGGTCAGGGTCAGGGGTCACTGGTCTGGGCCTGTGGGCAGTACCTGGTAGCCCTTCATGCGGCAGAAGCGAAGGCACACCTGGACCGTGAGTTTCGTTGAGGTGCCACTGGGGCCGCTGAGGGCAGGGGGTGCCCCTGAGTCCACGAAGCAGCCCAGATACCCGGGCACTGAGGGGGAAGGGGAGTCAGTGCCCGTCCGGTGCTTCCAAAAGTAAACTCCACTCAGGTAGCCCAACGCTCCCACCCTTGTCCAGCTGGGCCCACTCACTGTGACATGTGGGAATGTCACAGTAGCGCCAATAGATGCCCTCCTCCGTCTCGGCAACGTAGCACCATGGCTGCACATCACCATCTGGATTCCTGCGGGCGAGGAGAAGTTGTCCGGATCCTGCTACCTGCAAATTCCAGGCGCCATCCCAGGGTTTATCCTCAAAATGGCCACTGAGAGTGGTACAGCAACTCTCTGTCCTGCATGTCAACTCGCGAGTGGACAGTGGGAAGTCATTAAAGGGACCTCAGGGCTGATTTTAGGTATTCAGCGGAAGACTTTGAGTGTTCTCTGTAGTGTTTGCCGCCCAACCCGCCCTGAACCTCAGCCTTGTGCCTTGTTTCAGAACCCTGCTTTAAAGCAAAAGTGGTGACTTCTATAAACAAAGAAGTGTCCTCCCGCTCAGCTCGTCCCTGCTGCTCCAAACAACAGTTGTGTCTCTGAACCGGCCCCTCATTTCATAGATGACTCTCTGACCCCCTCCCACAAGGGTCCCTTTGAGTGCCCAGGCCTGACCTGAGATTGTACAGAAGAAGTTGGGCACTTAAGGCCGGACCCACGTCAGAAAAAGTTTTGAGTGCCCATCCCCACCCCCAGCGCCGGCTAAGGCCTGACCTACCCCCCCCCACCCCGCCCCCACCGCCGCCTCAGGCCCTCTGCTCCTCTCACCCGGAGCCCCTGCCTCAGGCCCAGGAGCGCAAAGGTACACCCAGTCCCGCCTCCAACAAGGCCCAGCCCGAAAGGCTCCTCCTCCAATAGACCACGCCCTGGCCCCGCCCCTCACCGACAGAAGTTGTGTGCTCCCAGCCCCCAGCGACCTTGGGGGTCTCTGGCGCTGCTGTAGCTGTGCTGCTGCGTTTGGTTCCAGAAGAGGCAAGGGCGGCCTGCCCCGCGCGGGCCCGTGCGGTTCTGGTGGCCACGGTAGTCGGCGCCATTCACCTGGAAGCACTCGGATAGGCCTGCACGGCAATGCCAGGGCCTTCGGAGGTTCGGAGCCTCGCCCGACATCCTCACCCACTACCCACCCCAACTCCTTCCCGTCTCCCAGCTAGTTCCCCTGGTGCTCGCAGGACCCTGGGGCTGCTCAATTGCTCCTGCCACCTGCCTTGCCCCGTCCCCAGGCTTGGGACTCGGTTCTTAGGCACGAAGACGGAGGAGGGAGTAGTGACCAAGGCCCAGTCGCTGAGCCAAGACTCACCTGGGCTATGCAGGCTCCCCGCGGAGGCCCCCCATAGCGGCAGCGTGGGGAGGAAGAGTAGGAGAAAGAGGAGGCTCTGAGGGGCGCGTGTCCCCATTGCCTCCAACCTAGGAGAGGTTGCCCTGGCCGACACACAGGGCCCGTTCCACCCCCAGAGTCTCTCCGGGGTCTTCAGGAGACCTGAGGCGATGGGGGAAGGGGGGCGTTGTCCTTTGCCCGTGAATCCTCGTCCCACTCTGGGCAGCTCTCTCAGTCTGGGGTGGGCAAATATCTTCCGGGGGTATTCGCCTCCCTGGGTTTCTGCCCCTGAAGGCGTCTCTCTGTCTCGTCCCTACTGGAGGTCTCCCAAGGGATCTCTGGCCAGGAACTTCTCCATGTCTGCTTCTCGGTGGTCGTGGTCTTGCCTCGGCCTCCGCACCTGACCCCTCCGGCTGAGCCCGGTTCTAAGGGTTTCCCTAGTCCAGGTTTCTAATGAGCTGGCTCCTGCCCCCCTCACGTCCTTCTGCGGGCCCCTCCCCCTTGAGTCCCTCCCCCTTGAGTCCCTTCCTCCCCACCTCCCACCCCTGAGGCCGGGAAGCCCCGCCTGAGACTGGAGCGAAAGCAGCAGGTCCAGGCGCCTCTCCCACTCGCCCCGGGACCCTCAGAGTCCTGGTGCGGGCCTCTCCGCCCCCTCACCTTCTCAGGGTCGGCGCAGGTTCTAGTGCGTTGTGTGAAGAAAGACCCTAATGCGGGGGATACAGGACCCTCTCCCGAGGCCAGACGCCCCCGCGACACTACTCACAAGGAATCTTGAATGAAATGCACGCACGCCTGCGCTTCCAGTCAGTCACCTATTCGTTGTCAGACACTCACACACAAACCCTCTTTCAGATCCTCATTCCCTTCGCTCCACAGGTCCGGATGCCTCTGGCCTGACAGAGGGAGTGCCACTCCTTGCACCCCAGCCCCCCCCCCCCCCCCCCCCCGCACCCTAGAGACAGGCGGGAATGGTGGACGCTCAGTTCTGGACAGGCAGAGGCAGCTGGTGTCTGGGGATGAAGGCAGCTGCGCCCCTGGTCCCAGCCTATCCCTCCCTCTCCTCCCCCTTCTCTCCCTAAGACCCCTAGTCCAGGCTCCCCGGAGCCATCGCAGCGCGATGGAATTCCCCCAGCGGTACCCCCCTTCCCCCGGCGAGGAAGGGGGAGGTTAACAGGCCTAGGCAGGCGTGGGGGGAATTTCCCCGCCCCCTCCCCCTGGGCCCGACTCCACTGAGTTCTCTGATCTCCCAGAGCCGCCCGCCGGCTGCCCCCAGGGCTTGGGGGGAGGCCAGCGCAGGTGTGTTGGAGGGCGAGGGAGGGGACCCAGGGAGAAGATGGGTGGTGGCCAGAGGCCCAAAACCGACCCGTTTCGCCCAGATCCCTTGCCCCTCAGTCCAGCCTAACCACTTACCAGGCCCAAATTAGGCTGGCCAGCCTGGGAAGACAGCACAAAACCCCCAACCCTGCCCAAGATAGGTGGGGTAGGGAGGATTCTACAAAGGCCAAGGTACTTCTGGCCATGATGGCCAGAAAAGACCTCATAGTTAGTAATTCACATGCAGGCTCTTGGGTAGGTAGATAGGGTGGCGGGCAGAGGAGCATTGGAAGGAGGAGGGCTTGCTGAGACTCAAGGATGGAGCTGGAGTCGCCTCCTGGGGGAGCTCAATCAGTAGCCAGGCTGGCCCAAAGCTCACCTCCCAGTTTCCTGGCTGTGTGGAGGACCTGACTGAGAGTTTCAACTGGCAACTGGGTAGCCACCCATGGACTGGTCCCCCTTCTCCCTTCTGCCAGTGAGCACCATCACTGCAGAGGCTCCATGGGATCACGGAGAGCATCCCAGGGCCACAGGCCTGGGCCAGGGTCTGGACAGTGGGGGCGCATGGGCAACCTTGCAGCCTAGAGTCACAGACTGCCAAGGAAAGGGTAAGGTGGGGGACAGGGACAACCAGGATCCCACGTGCACAATGGGGGTCACTGTGGGGAATAGAGGAGGAACTGGCCCCTTCCCTAGAGGGGGTTTGGACCAAAAAGGACTGTATTTTGAGTCCACAACACTTCCATTCCCTACTCCCCACTGCCTCAGACTCCTGCAAAGGGGGTGTTGGTAGAGAGGGAGGGGGTGCTCAGTTCCAGGATGCAGGCACTGAGAGGAAGGGCAGTGTCCCCACTGCAAGCTCCAGTCCTCGGTGGCTCATGGAACCTCCAACTAAGGAAGCCAGGGTCCTTGCCTTCTGCTGAGGGGACCCTTAGACCGGGGAATTAAATAACAAAAATGTATTGTTTCACAGTCAGGGATGGCCCCTTCTGAGAGCCGTGAGGCACAATCTGTTCCATGCCTCTGGATTGGGTTTGGTGGTTTGGTGGCCATCATTGCCATTCCTTGGCAGAAGTGTCAACGACCCAGATCTCTGCCTCCATCTTCTTCCTGTGTGCATGTCTGTGTCCAAATTCCCCCCTTTTATAAGGATGCCACTCATACTGGATTAGGGCTCTCTCTTCTCCAGGATGACCTCATCCTAACTAATTACATCTGCTATAACCTATTGGGTAAGTTGTATGGTATGTGGACTATATCTCAATAAAGCTTTAACTTAAAGAAAAAAAAAAAAGAACTGGGGAGGGTGGCACTGGTGGACACTGACAACTGATGGGACAATGGCCTGTGTCAGGTTCTCCATCCTCAGGGAACTAAGCCAAGTTCCATTTTCCCACCATGTGCCACTGAGACATCTGGAGTGTGTGGCTTTGTGATGGCCAGCTGTTGTTGCAAAGGGGATGTGGACACACACACTAGGTCTACATAGTGAGATATAAAATAAGGTTTATTGAGGGAAAGGAACAAGCAGAGGGACAGTGAGGGGCACCCAAGATGTCACTGTCCTATAGCGGGTAGGCAAGCTCCATGGCCAGCTTGCCAGGAGAGAAAGAGCCTGCTGGGTGTGCTCCCTCTGCAATTATAGAATGAGGGAAAGTAGCCTCACTGTTGAAGACAAGGCTTGTTAGCAAGCAGCAGCCTCTGGAGTTGCCAGGGGGACATCAGCCTGTGTCCCTGGACCTGCTAGGGTAGCTCTCTGCTGCATTACCAGGCTGGAGAAAGAACTGCACCTCCGCTGCCATCCACGTCTGCCTCTCCTCCTGCGTGAGACAAACGTGGGCTACCCGGGACACTTCTGGCCTCAGCTAGGTAAAATGTGGTCCATGCTGGCTTTCTGCAGACATCCAGGCTGGCTCCCACTGCCAGGAACACCTGCTGTGGGGATCATGGACACTGGGTTTAAGCTGGAAAACAGTGAGGGAAAGAAAGTTGGGCAGTGTGTGCAATGGGGCCTCTTGTTTGGCCTGCTCTATTACTGTAAGTGATCACTGCACCCCAGCAGCAGGCGGCCAGGGGGCACAAAGGGCCACCTGGCCCCTGTCTAGAAAACACCTGAGTGGCTGGAGCTAGGTAGGGCAGCTCAGCTCAGCTCCAAAAAGCAGAAGTTCCCCAAATGTTCCTTGGCCCAAGCAGGGCCACACCCAACTCGGAAGTCCTTGGCAAAGTCTCGTGCTCTGAAAACAGATGGGTATTTGTGGCTTGGGGTGGCAGACAGGGAAGAGTGACTTTGTCAAAAGATGCTTCTTCAGACCTTGCAGAGCTCAGGCCTTCCCCACATCATGCACACCTGCCAGCTGCCGGCTCCTGGCACTTTTCTTTCCCTGTGCAAAGGAAACATCAGAGCATTCCTCTTGGAAGGCCTCTTGAGGAAGTGTGAAGGCTGTTGATGCTTTCAAAGAGTGAAAAAGAGCTTTTGTCCAGCAGAAGCTAAGTGGGTGGGAAATGCTGGGGTCCCACGTAGACGTGGAGCATCCTTGAAGCTGGCGACACATGAGGTTCCTCTGAGTTGGAGAGGAGATGGCCTCACTGAGAATCACTGTTGGGTTTTATAGCTTTGACTTTTCTGATTACAAAGAAACACATATTCATCATAAAAATACAAAAATAGCAGAAATAGGTAAAAGAGAAAGTTAAGGATTCCTGCAATAAGTTTTCCCTAGAGAAAACCATCAGCTAGAACATTTTTATACACACATATATACAACATCATATCAATTCCTTTCAAACATGAGATTGCTCCATTGCCATAAAACTTGGGAATTCTTGACTTTTACTAGAATGTCCTGGGAGGAAACACCAACATGTCTACAAAGTTCCATGTACTGCTTTGGAAGTTGCCAAGCCTTTTTAAGTTTCTTTGTCAGAAAACAAAATTCTCTGTTACTGTGATAGGTTTAGAAAATGTTTGCTAATTCCTTGATATTTTTGACTCCAAGTGGAAGAGTGTAATTCCTCTCCCTTGGGTGTCATGACTGGTTTCTAATGACCAGAGTAAAGCAAGAGTTAAGTGGTGTGACAGTGGTCATAAAGCCATCATGGCTTTTTTCCTTTTATTTTTCTAAATAGCTTTATTGAGATATAATTCACATACCATATAGTTCACCCACTTAAAGCATAGAATTTGATGGTTTTAGTATATTCATGGGGTTGTGCATCCATCACAACAATTACTTTTAGAACATTTTCACAACCCCCAAAGTCCTCTCTCTCCTCTTCTATTTTCCGGAAGAGTTTGTGAAGAATTGCTGTTCATTATTCAAAATGTTTTTAGAGGTCACCAATGAAGTTATTCATCTGGGTCTGGGCTTTTCTTTGTGGGAAAATTTAAAACTACTAATGCAACTCTTGTTATAGGTCTATAACAAGATTTTCTATTTCTTCTTATTTTTAAAAATTTATTTATTTATTTATTTATTATTTTTTTTTTTTTCTAGAAAGTGGGGAAAGGAGGGAGAAAAAGAGGGAGGGAAACATTAATTGGTGGTCTCTTGTATGTGCCTAGACCGGGGACTGAACCCACAACCCAGGAATGTGCCCTGACTGGGAATCAAACTGGCAACCTTTTGCTTTTTCAGGACAACACCAAAGTGAGCCACACCAGTCAGGGCTCTATTTCTCCTTGAGCTTGTCTTTCTAGAAATTTTTTTCATTTCATCTAAGTTATCTAATTTGTTGGCATGCCATTGTTCATAGTATTCCCTTATCATCATTTTTCTTTCCTATGAGGTAGGTGGTGATGTCCCATCTTTCATTCATGACTTTAACAATTTGAGTTTTCTCTATATTTAAAAAATATATATGCCCTGGCTGGTGTGACTCAGTGGATTGAGTGCTGGCCTGCAAACCAAAGAGTTGCCAGTTCGATTCCCAGTCAGGGCACATGCCTGGGTTCCAGGCCAGATTCCCAGTAGGGGGCATGTGAGAGGCAACCACACACTGATATTTTTCTCCTTCTTATTATATATATACTTGGGTCAATTTAACTAAATGTCTGTCAATTTTTTTATCCTTTCAAAGAAACAACTTTTGGTTTTGTTAATTTTCTCTTCTTCATTTCATTAATTTCTATCTTTACCTTTATGATTTCCTTCCTTCTACTTTATTTTACTTTGTTCTTTTTCTAGTGTCTTAACATGTAAGTTTAAGTCATAGGTTTGAGATCTTTTTAATATAAGTATTTACAGTTATAAATTTCCCTCTAAGCACTGGTTGGCTGCATCCCAGAAGTTTGGTATGCTGTGTCTCCATTTTGTTCATTTTGAAGTGTTTTTTAATTATCCTTGTGATTTCTTAGAGTCATTGATTATTTAGAAGTGTGTTGTTTAATTTTCACATATTTGTGAGTTTTCCAAATTTCTTTCCGTTACTGATTTCTGGCTTTATTCCATGGTGGTCAGATAAAATACTTCATATGATTTCAGTCCTCTTAAGTTTATGGAGTCTTGTTTTATGGCTCAGATATGGTCTATTCTAGAGAATGTCCTATCATTTTCTAGAGAATGTGCTTGAGAAGAATATGGACTCTGCTATTTTTGGCAGTTTTTTTCTTGCTCTGCTGTTTCACTCATTTTGGGGAAAGATAACTGTCATGTTTAAGGACACTCAAGCAGCCTTATGGAAGGGTCTGTATGGTAAGACACTGAGTCTTCCAGCCCACAGTCATGTAAGTGAATGGACCATTTTGGAACTAGTTCCTCTAGCCCCACTCAAGCCTTAAGAGGACTCCAGCCCCGGCTGACATCTTTTCTTTAACTTTATGAGAGACTCTGATTCAGAAGCACCCAGCCCGACCACTCCTGAAATCTTAACCTACAGAAACTGTGTGAGCCAGTAAATATTTGTCATTTTAAGTCATTAAATTTTGTGATAATCTGTGACACAGCATTAGATAACTAATATGATTACCCATTAATCTGCTGGCTTTCAGGAGAACAAGTCTTGAAGCACAGTTGAACTGTAGGCAGGAGTTTTATCTTTTCTGAAGAAAAAAAATGGAAAACCTGGATTAATAATTCTTGTTGAAGTGGCTAGAGCTAATGACACATACCTTATAATGAAGACCTCAAGGCCTAAGGATAAAGAAAACCAGGTCGAATCATGCTGATTTAGGGAGTCATTGAAAGCCCCAAACTACCTGTGCCTGGTAAAGTAAGTTATAGGAGATCTCAAGAGTCAGTCTGCTGCCGTTGTCATCAAAAATATCGGGAATCAACCAGATATCGAAGATTATCTGCCCTTTACCATGTCAAAGGCCCTCTGCACCTCCTACTTCCTATTTAAACCAAACAGTGGCTTTCTCTTGGAAATCATCTTTTATGTTTTAAGCAGAAATCAAGTTTCTTTTGGTTGTTTTATACAACTTGGATTCATTTCTGTATTTTATAAGATAGGGCTCTTAATATTTACATGCATTCATATAAGACACACACTGCTTTCTAAAGACTGGTTTTATATTCTGTTTACGTGAAGAGAAACCTTTCCAGTTCAACACAGTTAATTATTTGCAAAATTTACATGAGTGTTTGCATGTGCATGGGCACACACATTAGTACAATTGTTCTGGGTGGTCTATATTTTTTTATTAGATTTTTAAAAGAGACTACAATCATTAAAAAGTTAAGACCTCTTAGAATAAAAGATAGAGAAAATGGTAGTTTGTTTTTAAGGATGTGACAGATTTAGGTGTGTTTTCAGGTTCAGGAGAAGCCAGTTGAGAGGACAGACAGAAGGTTCTAGAAAGACAGAAAGGCCAGGGCACAAAGGTCCCCAGATAGTGCCTATCCCCTGGGGTATCTGAACCTTGGGCTGATGGAGACCTAGATCCCACAGGCTCTTGTACCCCTCCTTTGCCCCACATCCCTGTCTGTACCTGGGTCCTCCTGCTGGGCTGCATTGGGAAGCTGCTCCCGCTGCCTCAGGGCCTCCAGGCCCACCAGGTCAGGCAGGTGGCAGTGGCCGCGCATCACAGTCACCTGCTGGCCCTGGGTGATGGCCCGGCTGCGGCAGCCCAGCCGGGCCTGGTCCCGGCACATCCAATACACCTTCTCGCCAGCGGCCTTCTCCTTCCTGTAGAGGAAGGACTCGTGTACCAGGAACCTCCCCCCGAGGGAAGTCCTCAGGAACTCCAGAGGCTGGAGGATTCCTGGAAGGAACACAATGCTGTGAGTGGAGTGTCTGGGTCAGGCCTTGCAAGCAGGGGAAGGAGCCTAGGTGCTAGAGCTGGAGCCTGTTGCCTTTTTCCCACCAGCCTCCTCCAACAGGAAAACTGTCACCCTCACCCCCACCCCAGTAGGATTCACTCTGGTCACTACCCCTGTCTGTGCCTCAGGGCCCTGGGGACTGAAGCTCAGGTCATCAGCCCAGGGCCCCTTGCCCTGACAACCTCAAGTGGAGACTGACTGTCTCTAAGGGCTCTAGAGCTGCCTGGGGAGGTTGGCTCTGCAGCCATCCAAACCCTGAGTTTCCTGCCAGCCTCTCCTGACTTGGCTGTGACTCTACACTTCCTGGCAGGCACCCCAGGTCAGGGGCTGAGCTGGAACATTCTGAGAGGCCCATGGCTGGTCTGAACCATGTGTACCAGGGGCCTCCCAGCTCCCTGTCCACCTTCCCCTTGGCCAGTTGGCAACCAATCAACTCTCTCTCTCATGAGACTTTTAAGAACCTTAACTGAAAGGTCATGCAATGTTGGGGTTGGGGTGGCCAGACACAACTGTAGGGAGAGTGGCAGGGGAAGGGAGAGAAGAGACAGAGGAAAACAGACCTAAGAGAGACCCAGAGAGCGGAGACAAAGGGCCCCCAAGGTCCAGGCTCATTGCCTCATAAATGGGTGCCAAGCACTTCCTGTACCTGCCAGTAATGCCACCCTGGCCCTCCCCCTTTTTCTCCAATGGCCTGAGTGGGTTTCTCCCACTGACAGCCCGTCCTGGCCTGGGACCAGCACCGTGAGTGAGGAGCCCAGATGCAGCCTCTGCCCTCAGGAAACTCTCAGCCCACACGGGCATACTGACGAGCCTGGCTGGACCCCACTGGACATGGGCCACGTATGGAAGGTCCTAGCAGGCAGCCTTCAGCCTGTGTTTTGGAACTGGCCCCAGGGGTAGCCAGGCCAGCAGGAAGGACCAGAGCCCAGCGCCTACCCACACCTGAACCTTCCCTCTGGGCTGGGCTGGGGAACTGCTCGCGCTGCCTCAGGGCCTCCAGGCCCCCCAGGTCCGGCGGGTGGCAGTGCCTGCGCATTACCATCACCCGCTGGCCCTGGGTGATGGCCCGGCTGCGGCAGCCCATGCGCGCCTGGTCTCGGCACGTCCAGTACACCTTCTCGCCGGCAGCCTTTTCCCGCCTGTAGAGGAAGGACTCGTGCACCAGGAAGCTGCCCCCCAGAGGGGTCCTCAGGAACTCAGGGCCTCCTGGGGAGAAACAGGGGAAGCAGTTATGGGAGGGAAAGCCCAGAGCCCAGGCCTTGGAGCAGAGCAATGAAGTGGTGGCCGCCCTACTCTCAGAGCCAGAGAAGCTTGGCTCCTCGAGTGACTTCCACAAGCCCTATCCCTTTTGCACCCACCTCCTCACAGCAAGAAGGCCCTAGAGCCCAGGACACAGCCACCCACCCACTACAAGCATCAAATCCAGCTTAGCCTCAGTTCCTGGGGGCTCCTTTACAGAGCCTGGCAGGGAGGGGAGATGGGAGACTGGTGAGGTAGAGGACCCGGAAGGCAGAGGGCTGTCCCCTCATCTTATGTGCTACAGGAAGGGGGTATTTTTGCTACATCCACTCGCTTATCCCAGGTGCCTGCAATGGGATGCACACCGGGCCGTGTGGTCCCTGCCGAGCTGGAGGAATAAGTGGACAGCTCCTCTGGGGAACAAGTAATCAGCAGTGATATGAGCATTGTGTGCGGTGCCTTCTGCCTCCAATGCAGCTGCGAGATGGGCTATAGAAGAGTCGACTCTCCAAGGAGCCAGGCTGGGTGGGGATTTGACCTGAGGGCAGCAGGAGGAGGTAAGAAACAGTGTGAGCCATGTCTTGAATGCACTGAGAGGGAGATGGCTGAGCCCTTCTGCCCAAAGGACTCCCTTCCCTGCATCGAGGGAACACATAGAAGAGCTGGAGACAAACTGGAAAACCTGTCTCGCCACAGCAGGGAACAGCAGAAGCCATGGGGGGCGGGGGGCGGTGTGTGTGTGAGAACACCCTGGAGAAGGTGGGGGTTGGGTGAGGGTATCTGGGTGTGGAATGGAGCTAGTGGACCTCAGGGCATATTTTTGTTCTTCTGGCACCACACCCAGTGAAAACGTCTGCTGAGGAACGAAGGCACAGAGCACCAGGCCAGAAATCTGGAGAGGGGAGGAGAGAGAGCAGCAGAGCAGAGATGCTGACAGAATGGGAAAGGCTGGGGTGTTGGGGGGCGGGGGCAAGGCCGTGTGGTTACAGACTTGGCAAGCCAGCCTGGAGGGGAAGCCACTGAGAACAGTGGAGTCCAGTGGGCAGGTCTGGGAGGTCTGAGGTCTCTCAGAAGGTGGGGCCTAGGGCAGTGCTACACAGGGGGCCTGGGTGTGAGTTATATGAAAAGCAATGATATAAGGGTGTCTGAGCCTGGGGAAGAAAGAGTCTTCAGAGTGGGGAAGGAGGAAGTGGAAGTGTGCAGCTGGAGCGTGACACTTCTCACTTATTTTCCCTGCCCAACTCCCAGAATGCCCACAGCCAGTCAAAGACCACTGTGGGAAGTTCTTGCTGTGGATACTGATCAGCCCAGAGATGGAGGCACAACCCTAAAACTTCAAACCAAAACCCATTACTACTTGCACAGGATCAGTTCTCAGAAAACTGGGTCATTGAAGAACAGAGACCATACAACCACAGAAGGATTTATATAATCTGGAGTTCCTCAGACAGCCATGCTCTCCATCAAGACACCTAAAACATGCACGGCCTGAACAGTATGGCCCCCAGGAACTCTTGCAAGGGTAGTGACCAGGGGAGGGACTTCAAATGTCAAGGGGGTAAACCAAGCAAGAGTAAGAGAGACCTAGAGATGAGGGTCCAGCTAGGGGGCCCGAGGGAGATGGTGAGGCAGGACCCCAGTCCGACTGGAGCAAAAAAACGGGAGCTGCCTGCCGCTGGATGAGGGAGGGAAGTCATGTATGAAGAAGAGAAGTGATGGGCACGGCAGAACACTAGGCCGACAAATAAAGTGGCTGCTGAACTGCCTAGAAAACGGAGAGCTGTGTGAGGAGGAAACAATAGCAGTGCATTCCCAGCTAAGCACGAACAGGTTTATATAATAAAGCAAAAACAAAAACGGCAGTAACTGCATTGAAAGGATGGCGGCAGCAGGTAACAGCTGAATCCTTATTTTCTCTTTTTTAAACCAATACTTTCTTTCATCGGAAGCTAACAAGAGGTTTAAAAAGCAGTCATAGTGGTAGAAGCACATTTCAAGAAATAGGGCAGCAGATACGCTAAGAAACAAGAGAAAGAGCTCAGAGTGGTTATTTGGGGCGGGAAATGGGGGTGAGAATGGGGCAGGGCTGCCATGTGCAGTGTAGCTTTGTTTCCATGTACACAGAAGTTACAAGGAAATGGAATAAAAAGAGAGTCAGAAAGAAATACAATCAGCCCTGGCTGGTGTGGCACAGTAGATTGAGTGCCAGCCTGTGAACCAAAGGGTTCCTAGTTCGATTCCCAGTCAGGGCACACACCTGGGTTGGGGGCAAGGTCTCCAGTAGGGGGCTTGTGAGAGGCAACCACACATTGATGTTTCTCTCCCTCTCTTTTTCCCTCCCTTTCCATCTTTCTAAAAATAAATAAATACAATCTTAAAAAGAAAGAAAAAAATACAATCAGAGATCGTGAGCTTCAGAGAACTTTAGGGCCAAAAAGACTCCAAAGGTGGCTCAGTTGACTCAGAAAATTATATAACTGGCAACCCCTGATGGAGAGGCAGATGTCTCTCGGACATGAATAAAGAACTGGGCCAAAGTTGCTCTTCTTAGCAAGATGAGGACAGGAACATTTACATTATTGTGACCGTGAGAGTCCAAACACCAAGCCCTGTGGGGCTGACCAGGTAGACAAAGATGAAAAGAGAGGGGCTGTGACTCTCATCAATGGCTCCTTAGGGCTGATGATAGATATTGATGGAGAAAAGCTGGAGGAAGAAGTAGTTGATTAATTACATGAAAATATCACCTTCCGCTCTTTAACCACTAGGTCTGTAGGATATGCTGTTTCTAGGCACTGTATCATCCACTCACTCTGTAAAAAAGTATTATCCACTCTGTAAAAATGAGGAACTGGCCATGTGCAATTAGCTTCCTTTATACATCCTATAAATTCTTAAGGGGGAAAAAAAAAGGAGAAAGAAGAGAAAAGGGAGCCTGGGGTGATCAGATGCTGTAGAGATTTCAGGGTAGCTCGGCTGGTCTGAGCAGGACGGTGAGGACAACCACCTGGGTAAGCAGGACTACCCTGAGTCACCCTGAGTCTGGTCGAGCCCAGTCGGGGAATGTAGTGAGGTGATTGTCGAGGAGTGGAGGTGAGGAAAGGGAAGAGCAAGGAGAGGGCTGTAACTTCTTCCAGGGTGCTCTTAGCAAGGAACAGGAGGGTGCTTGCTAGGGGACAGGGAGGGTCAAGCAGGAAAGGCTGCCTGGGCCTTCTGCCTTTTCCCAGGCCTGCCGCCCATCCGTCTTACCTGAAATTCCCCGCTGGGCCGCACCAGGGCGTTTCTCCCGCTGCCTCAGGGCCTCCAGACCCACCAGGTCAGGTGGGTGGCAGTGGCCTCGCATCACAGTCACCCGCTGGCCCTGGGTGATGGCCCGGCTGCGGCAGCCCATGCGCGCCTGGTCTCGGCACGTCCAGTACACCTTCTCGCCGGCAGCCTTTTCCCGCCTGTAGAGGAAGGACTCGTGCACCAGGAAGCTGCCCCCCAGAGGGGTCCTCAAGAACTCGGGGCCTCCTTAGGAAAAATGGGGAAGGTGGTCAGTAAAGACTGGGCCAGGCTTGATGCCACCCCATTCCACCTCCCAGGCCCTCAGGTAGTAAGACTTGAGGGGGGCCCATCTCTGGCCAGTGGGTAAGGAGGACTCACCCAGGCTCTTGTCCTGGTCGTCGGCAGGGGATCCCTGCAGGGCCTGGGGCTTCGTGTGCTTTCTGGGACGGGGCCTGGTGACAGTCGTGGCGCCGGGCCCCCTGCGGTAGAGCAGGCTATCCACACCTTGGAGCAGCTTGTCCACTTGGCCCCCGGGGCCACCTGGTCTGGCCTGCAGCGTCTTCATGGCCTTCTCCTGCTGCCGCCGGGCCTGTAGGCCCTCCATGTCAGGTGGGTGGCAGTGGCCACGCATCATGGTCACTCGCTGGCCCTGGGTGATGGCCCGGCTACGGCAGCCATGCAGAGTGTGGTCTCGGCACGTCCAGTACACCTTATCTCCCACAGCTTTCTCTCGCTTGTATAGGAATGACTTGTGCACCAGGAAGCTACCCCCATAACAGGTCCTCAGGAACTCCAAGGACGGGCGCTCTCCTGGAGGAGGAACTGGCAGTCACACTGGCAGAAGGGGAGGAGGCTGGGCAGTGGGGCAAGCGGAATGTGCGGCCAGGTGTGCTTGGTCCAAATGCGCCCCACTGACTCCCCCTCCCCCATCCAGCAACCCAAGTGGTGTTTGCAGTTTCCCTCTGGTGGTCAGAGAGGCCACGTCCAAGATCATACACCTGAAAGGACCACACCTTATATGCTCAGTCACCCCAGCCTATCCTTTCTTCAGTTTGTTTGAAAACGCTATCTAATTTTTGAGTAATACTCTCATGTGTCATACAATACAGGTGGTACCAAGATACACAATGTAAAACAAGTCCTTCTCCCTCATCCTGCCCCAGGTACCCAGCACAGCAGCTGCCTTTAATCTGTTAATCCTTGAGTCCTCGAATCCTTTCCAGGTCAGGAGGCACCCAGCCTTTGGGACAAAGCCCACCTCCCAGTTACGGGTCATAAAAGCTGCACAAAAATTCTGTCTACATCTTACTCAGTGCTACCACATGCTGGGCCAGTGCTGAGCAGTTCCCACATGTCAAACATCTAACCTCCCTGACATTTAGGCTATCACCCTTCTTAGGGCAAAGCTCCCAAAATTGCAGAAATTCAGCAAATGTTCTAAGGCTACCCAGCTCTATGAGGTTGGGCTGGAACTTGAACCTGGGACCCAAAGTTCAAAATTCTCCCACCAGGCCAACCTTCCCAAACTCCATGGGTTGGTAGAATTACATGGAGATATTAAAACTCACGTTTCTGAGCCCCATACCAGACTCTGCTGTATCAGAAAATTCTAGAAGGGCCCTGGACAATGTAGCTCAGTTGGCTGGAGCATCGTCCTATAACCAAAAAGTTGCTGGCCTGATTCCTGGTTAGGGCACATGCCTGGGATGTGGGCTTGATCCCTGTTTGGGGAACGTGCAGCCGAAACGCACTCACCGGTCCCCAGTGTCCGGCGTTTCTTGAAGGGCAAGCTCAGAACCGACAGGGCTCGCAGCCCTTCATCCTCCTGTGGGGCAGGCTTGCTTGGCACCAGCCCAGGCGCAGGCTCTGGCTCCTCAGGGCACAGCCATGGGCCCGCTCCTTTGAGTGGCTCCTCCACCTGGCCTCGGGGGACCTCAGGACTCCCCAAGCCTTCCGGCAGGGCTGGGCTGGGCAGCTTCTGCCTCTGGCGCCGTGCCTCCAGGCCCTTCTCGTCGGGGGAGTGGCAGTGGCCCCGCATGACTGTGGCCCGAGGGCCACGGGTGATGGCCCGGCCCCGGCAGCCCAGCTCAGTGTGCTCTCGGCACTTCCAGTACACCTTGTCCCCCACAGCCTTCTCCTGCTTGTACAGGAAGGACTCGAGCACCAGGAGGCGGCCCCCAAATGGGGTCCTCAGGAACTCCAGGGGCTTGGGGGCTGCCGAGACCAAGGAGAGGGCTGGGTTAGCGGATATGGAGCAAACAGGAGGCCAGGGACATGGACCAGAGGGATGAGAGAAAGAAGTGGACAGGGATGAGGATTGTCACACCAGCCTGGGATAGGTTTGTAATTAGAGACAAGGAGGCTCGGCTCAGAGCGGGGATGGGACATCCAAAGTCACTGCACTGGAAAGAGGGCGGGTATTCACGAGGGCCCAAGTCTGAGCATGCAGGGCCAGGGGTGGCAGGCCCGGAACTCACCTGTGTCTGCCTTGCTGTATTTCTGCTCAAGGGCCTGGGGGCTTGGCTGGGCTGGCCCTCCCTGCTCCTCTCCTGGCAGGATCTGGAGGGTCCTGGCCAGGGTGTTGGGGCCAGACATCTCCAGTGACATGACGCAGTGTACTTCCTTGGGCAGAGAGCCCACCCCATCCCCGTTCTCAGTGGAGGCCATTAGCAGAACCAGATTGGAGAACTCTTTGGATTTCACAGGGGCTGTGGGGACAACATCTGTGCCAGTCTCAGGGGACTCAGGGGACAGCTCCTGACCGGCCTTCACACTCTCACTCTCCTGCTCGCTGGGCTCAGGCAGGGGCATTCTGGGACCGACAGCCTGTCCCCCAGGCCGCGCTGAGGCCCCCGTGGGTGGATTTCTACTCCTCCTCCCTGGCAAGGGAACCGGCAGTCCAGGGGCTCTGTCCTAAGAGAGGATACAGCCCCCCATTAGTGAAGCCTGGGGCTCAGGGGAGCGGAGCTGGGGTGCCGATCGGGCAGATGGGGCACCAGGGTGGGCAGGGACCTGAACGGAGAAGCCTGGGCCCCTGCTTCTGCTCGGCCAGTTCCTCTCTGGGCAGCAGTGAGTGTGTCGCCTCCCCCATCCAAACCTCACTCCCCCCCCCGCCATGTGAAATGTGCCAAACACAGGGCTCTTGGCGCGGGGAGGGGGCTGCTGGGGGACTGAGATGCTGATAACCGAGTTCCTACAAATCGAGGCCCGCAAATCGAGGCCCGTGTGAAACACGGGGCGAAGTGTTTCACAGGTTTTTCCATTTAACCTTTCAGCCCCCGTGTGGTAAACGTTTACCATTCTTACTGACCCCGTTTACAGATGAGGACACTGAGCCGTGCCAGGGCCACTATCAGCCATGAAGCAGCAGAGCTGGGAGTCCAGCTGGGGAAGATCCGGAGCCCAGCTTCACACGACACCCGGCGTACCTTGTCCAGGCTACGTCACTGGTGTTCCTGAGCACCAAGCATCCGAGACAAGCCCTGGGGACGTGAGCTCAGGTCATTGGCCCTTCCAGAATTCCCAGCCTCTTTTCACCCTGACACTCTGCAGACCAGAGCTCCTGGCCCTGGGAGGGTAGGACTCTCTGGACTCACAACTAGATCCCGTCCCCGGCCCAGGCAGGAGGCCTGGGGCCACCCAGAGCTCGGGAGGTGCCGGGGCTCCATGAAGGCAGCAACCTCGTGCCTGAGCTGGTGCTGGCTGGGATAGGCGGGGACAGGGTATGGAGTTGTCCAGAGAATCTGTGGTCACTGAGGGCTCCCTGGCCTGGAGAAGCAGAAAGAATGATGTACGGGGGCCAAGGTGTAATGGAGACTTGGCCCAAGGCATCAGTGTGGAATGGACTTTCTGTCTTCTTGTCTTCTTGGGGGATGGGCAGTGGGTGAATTGTGAGGTCTTTCCCATCTCTCACTAAAAGCCCAGAAACAAGACAGCTGCTTCCCCTCATATTTCAGTTTCTTCACTGTGACCTGTCACCTCCATCCCAAGTTCTGCAGTTCCAATTCCTCCTGGTTCCCCATTCCTACTTAGCAGTTCCCCAGGCTGGTGCCCACATTTAGCTCCCCAAGGCCTGGTTAGCCCAAGCGCTGGGCCCCAGGGTTTCTGCATATCCCACAGCATCCCCAGCAGTCCCTGCCCTACATGCTCCTCCAGCCTCAGGCAGCAGCAAAGCCCAGTCCTGAAGGGGGAGAGCCAGGGAAATACATATTCCAGGTACTGAGACCTCTGGTTGGGAGTCCCCGCCTGACCTCCTGTGCCATGCCCCCCTCACCCCAGTCCAGCTCCTGGACTAGCTAATCCCTGGTTCTCGCACTGTCTTTCTCGGCCCTGCCCTTTCCACCGCAACCGGAGGAGGCGGGCGGGGACCCCGGGGACAATGCTGGCAGCAGCAGACACCTCCTGCACCTCCAAGGCAGGGTCCCTCTGGCAGGAAAGGGTTACAGTTGAGGCCCCAAATACAGGCCACCTGGCTTCTCACGTTGATTGGCCTCCAGCACATGTCCCTCCACTAGCAAATCTGCCTCGCTGGCTTCCAGGCTCTCCGAGGTCCCTGGACAAAAGAAAATGGTGGGTCCCCTATGCTGTGCCTTCCCCGCGCCCCCACGAGTTGCCCGTGCTCCTTTCTTCCCCGTGACTTCCACCAACAGGAAGAAAAAGCATAGAGAAGCCGGCCTTCCCTTCCACAGAGGCCTTTCAGACCACTCGGGCCACCCAAAAGCTGTGGTCACTGCTCAGCCAGCATGCACTGTTCCTACACTACCAGGCAGTCGGTCCCGCCACTCAGCTGACAGGAGTGGAGGCTGCAGGGACTGTCCCCCAACCCCCGCCACCACACCCCCAACACAAACCAACCCCCTGGGCCTCAGACATCAGATGCTGACGCCCAGCCTTCTCCAGCTCAGCTGGGGTTGGCAGGACCAACCATGACCAACACGGGTCAGCATGGCAAAAACCCAAAATTCCCGTGAAACTGTGCACAACCGAGTCAGGAGACACTGCAAGCCTCCCAACTAAAACTGCTGTTTAAAGTCACGACCCATGTACTGGAAAATGTTCCAGTATAACGGGACGTTGAACTATGGCTGACCACCCTCTGGGAAGTTCTGGGTACCTCAATGGGCTAGAATTTGGATTTGATTGACAGGTCCTATTCTCAACCACTGAAGGGCCTTAAAGTGTAGATTGTGTAATGACCCCAAAGTCTCCTGTAAAGGATGCAGGCCCCTTCACACTATGGTCTTCAATCTGGCCTGGCCTCCTGCCCAGATTGGTCCCTTGCTGTTGAGACTTGATGAGCACAACAGAAATACACTGTGGGGCTTTGGAGTCTTGCCCTGTTGGGACATGGTCCCGAGACTGACAGGGAAGGAAGCCGCATGAGAGGCCACATGCAGGGGACAGGAGCACTGCAAGGAATGAAGACCATCGTGCACTGTGCAGCCCAGCAGACCCTCCAGCTGGATGTAGCCACAAGAAGGCCTGAGAAAGTCCAGCCACCCCATGAAACCCTGATCAATAATAAACTACTGTTACTTAAGCCACTAAGATCAGGGGGATCATTTACATTCATTACACAGCCGTTCTTGGCAAGTGACCAAACCTTGTGGGTTCTGGCTTTTTGATGAATGAAATAACACTAATGGTTCTGCAATATCCAACATCAAAGTGCTTTTGAAATCCAGGTGCCATGCTACACAGATATTAAATCCCTCCGATGATTGCACTTAAAGGGCCGTTAAAATATTAAGTATATTAAGGAAAAATATTTAGTATATTAAGTAATATACTTAAATAAACATATTAAGTATAAAGGATAGCAAATGAGAATTATGTATTAAAAAGTACGTAACATGAGGCCTGACTGGTGTGGCTCAGTGAGTTGGAACACCGCCCCTCAAAGTGAAAGGTCACCAGTTGGATTCCTGTTCAGGGCACATGCCTAGGTTGCAGGTTCGGTCCCCTGTTGGGGCACATACGAGATGTTCCTCTCTCACATCTATGTTTCTCTCCCTCTTTCTCTTTCCCTTCCCCTCTCTCTAAAGTAATAACAATAATAAAATTAAACAAGAAAAACCTGTAACATGAAACAACTAGTCACAAAAGGATAAATACTGTATGGTTCCACTTATACGATGTAGCTGGAGTGATCAAATTCATAGAGACAGAAGGTCAAATGGTGGTTGATGGGCTGGGGAGGGGCATGCGCAGTTGTTGTGTAATGGATACAGAGTAATGTTTAGGCTGATGACAAGGTGAATGGTGACGATGGTTGTACAACACTGTGAATATACTTAACACTGAACTGTATGCTTAAAAATTATTTAAGTTGCAAATTTTTGTGTATATTTTACCACACATGCAAAAACAACCTGTAACAAACTATATGAATAATGCCCCACTTACCTAACATCTGATTAGCAAAAGGTATCCCTCCATGATTCAGAATTTTACAATTTCATCTGTTTCACAATTTATCCATTTGGGATAGATATCTTCATAAGCGCTTACAACTCCTCACTTTCTGGATAAAGAAGGCATACATATTTTATCCTGATTTGGAAAATAAAATGTCTTCATCCATTTCCCTTGGGCACATCTCCCTTCCCCCCAGGGGAGCCCTGTCTCTACCATTCATGTCCTGTTCTCTCTGGTCACCAAAAGTCTCTGCCTCCACTGGTTCTCTGCATTTGGGCCACCGAGGTTTTCAGGTCTCTTGTTTACTGAAACAAAACCTAACAAAACCCCTTCTTCCCTTAATGGTTTAATTATGCAAGAATAGCCCACACCCCGTCCTTCTCACCCTGGTCATCTGCAGACACCACTCTCCTCTTTGGCCACCATCCAGAATCGGTCCATAAACGACGCTTTCCCTCTGAAACACTTGCTCGTGCCTGTATGTGGTCTAGCTCTACAATGGCATTTATTCAGGAAGATAGGAATGAAGTTCTGACACATGTTACAATGTGGATGAGCCTCGAAAATAGGATGCTCAGTGAAAAAAAAACAGACACAAAAGGCCACATATTGTGTAATTCATTCATATGAAATGTCCAGAAAAGGCAAATTCACAGAGACAGAAAGCAGATTAGAGGTTGCATAGCACTGTGGGGGTGGGGGAGATTAGGGAGTGAGGCCAAGGGCTGTGGGGGTTCTTTTGGGGATAATGAAAATGTAAAATTAATTGTGGTGATGGTTGTATAACTCTGTGAATACAATAAAAACGTTGAAACATACACTTTAGATGGGGAAATTGTATGGTATATAAATCATATCTCAATAATGCTATTGAAAAAATCCTTATAGGTATGACTGAGGTCCATAGGGTCACTTGGATAGAAACCAGTGTTCTATACCATAGACAGGCTTCTCGCTCCTGGGCTCGATTTCCTCGTCAAAGGAGAGGGGTAGTATGAATTATGTATTGAGATATTTTGTAAGGTGTTAATAATATATCGTAAGAACTATAAAGAAAACATTTTTTAAGTGTTAAGGACAAAATATTAGTAAATCACCCAAAATCCTGCCACTCCAATGCACAGCTGTTTATATTCTTGTATTTGTACCTTTAATAACTCTTTATTTTCTGTTGCACACACATTGTGTTCAACATGCTGTTTGCTATTTTACTGCATGTTAAAGTGGTAAGCTGCCACCTGGGGACCAGATGGAGTCTCAGGGCATTATCTAACTAACAGAGGCCCATAACGGTTATGAGAACACCAATCTAAGTCCTCGGCAGCAATACTCTGGAAGGCCACAAGATGGTGATGTCGCTCCTTAAAAAAATGAACCTACTACATCCCTGGTAAAAAATTAAATGCACAGCACAATGTTTCCAAAACAAGAATTTGGGAGTTTGAACGTGTCACAAAAATAATTCGAGAATTCTGAAAATGTTTGTATTTACAAAACTTATTAGTTAAGAAGCAGAATCCATTAACAAATTCAACAAAGACTATTTTTTCTAAACTAAGTTTAAAAAAAACAAAAGGCCACACTATCACTCAGACACTAACATTATCCATCCACTTTTCTTCTCTCTCTTCTTGATTCTGGTCATATCTTTTATTTACTGACTACTTTTATTTTATGTACTCATGACAAAAAAACCCTTAAATAATTAGGAAGAAATATCTCAAAATGTTAAAAGTAGTAAGGTGATTTATTTTTTCCTTATACTTTTTTTTTGTTTTTTTCAAAATTGTTTACAATGTGCATAAGCTCTTTTTACAGTGGGAAATATTAAATGCTTTAAAGATAAGCTGTATCTTCTTGCTTGGTAATTTTTTTTCTTTAACTCTGAACTCATAGAAAAAGCAGGGAACATTCCTATGTGACACGATGTCATACAAGAAAATAAATAGTATAAACAACAGAACAGAGAAATGAATAAAAATCAAGCATATTAAAATCTTTGCTGTGGTATTTGCATAGCCTCAAAGATATTTCCCACAACATACTAACTATATAGGGAAAGATAGTAACTTGACAGTGAAGGAATCCCACAGACACCCCCTTAAGTGAGCAAGGTCAATTTCACCAGTAAAAAGGCAAATTAACTCAATGACCTCTTTGAAAAAAGGCACTGAGGACACAACAGCATCTCCATGATATTTCTGCTCAAAACATGCACCCCTATTCTAGTCAAACAAGCCACATGGAGGGACAGTCTACAAAACAACTGACCAGGACACTTAAAAACTGTCAAGGTCATTGAGGACAAGAAAAGGCTGAGTACCTGTCACAGACAGCAGGGGACTGAGGAGACATGACAACTAAATGCAACGTGGGATCCCAGAGCAGAAAAGATGAGAAGTGGGTGAAATCTGAGTAAGGTCAATAGTTTAGGTTCATAGTATTATGCTGATGTTGATTTCCTGGATTTGATCACTGTACATTGTTAGGTAAGATGTTGACATTCAGGAATACTGGGTGATGGGTATAGGGGAATTCTTTGTACTATTTTTGCAATTTTTAAAAAGCCTAAAATTAACTAAAAATAAAAGGGTTTTGAAAACCCAAGTTTCAAACTTATAGACACAATGACACTTGGCAGAGAAAGTAAGTGACTCAGAGACTTCCTGAGTGGAAGGGACAGAAAGAGAGAGGATTGAAGTGAGAAATGCCAGTTATAGAGGAAACATGCATAGAGCTGCAGCCATATCTTCAGAGTAAATTGTCAGCTGCATTGACACATCCCTACAGACCAACTATTTTGTGGTTTATCATAGTGGCTTCCAGCTGATCTGCCTCATGGGAGTTACTGTGGGAGACGGGAGGGAAGAGCAAGGAGGGTGTCTCCAGTTACCTGCCTGGCATGGCCGCACCAGTGCGGTCCGCTGCAGCTTTGCAGGGAACCCTGGATCCCCGGCCTGGCTGCGGTGCAGCTCCTAGCCACTCTTAAATCTCTGGGGTGCTCACCATTCTCGTTGGGCTTCTGAGCTTTTCTACCACCAGGAAGAGCAATGAAATTCCCAGTTGAAATCTTACAGTAGTTTCTGTTTTCCCAGTGGGATTCTGACAGATATCCTTCAAGAGTCTAAAGGACTGTGACAACATTTAATATTTACCAAACAGCAGCTATGTGCTGCACTAAACTAAGGACTTGCAATGCATTATTTCACATTATCTTCCAAATAACCTCATCAATTAAATTCTACTGTTCTTTGCCCTGGCTGGTGTGGCTCAGTGGATTGAGTACTGGCCTGCAAACCAAAAGGTCATTGGTTTGATACCCATTCAGGGCACAGGCCTGGGTTGCAGGCTGGGTCCCAGTTGGTTGTGACCCATGGATATTTCTCTCCCTCTTTTTCTCCCTCCCTTCCCCTCTCTCTAAAAATAAATAAAATCTAAAAAAAAAATCTAACTTGCAAAAACTATTAATAAAATTCTTTTAAAAATATGAAATAGAATATAAAGAGGGCATCCATGTAATGAAGCTAAGTATAGTTTTCATGAAGCTTTTATTTTAATCATTTGTATGTGCAATTCTGGTCTCCATAAGAATTACCCAGGGCACATGATAAAAATGTAGGTGGAATTTCACATCTAAAATTCTGGAGAGTGATTCAAGAATCTGGATTTTTAACAAGTACCCCATGAGGCTTTAGTACTAGTGGACCATGAACTGTGCTTTGAGACACACTGAAATAAATGCCCTTGAGAAACCGGTGGGCCACAGCTAAGTGACCAACTTAAGAAGGATCTGAGGTTTTCTTTGTGCCAGGTACTACATGAGATGTTTTACATATATTATATCATTTAAATCTGTCACACTGTACAGGTTCCCTCATTAATGTGTTAAATAAAATCATTAACATCTCTTTATTTTTTATCAGTGGGAGTGTCATGATTTCATCTTTTTAAAAATGATCCTTTAACAATTTAACAAGTTTTCAGATACTTTGGGGTGTTGTGGGGACCGCAAGCAGAGAGGAACTTGAGACGTTTATAGGCACTGCAGGTAAAATCTGGTGGAGTTTACTGGGCATCTCTTCTATACCTCAGGAGAGCAAACACCAGACTTTTGAAAATTCATTATATTCCTTATGAAGACTTCCAGCAAAGCAAACTCAAGAAAGCCTACATGGTGAATTAACACACTTGCTGCACCTAGGCAAATAATCAGGCCAAAACTAATGAGACAAGCCTTATTTCATGACAAAAAATATCTTTCATTAAGATTATGAAACTGTAGGGAAAATATGTTCTTCAATGGAAAACTATGCATTTTCTAAAACATACCCTTCCAAGTTTTATGAATCTAGCCTTTCCGCACCTTTGAGCTATTTTTACAACTCTGTACATTATAGAGAATAATGAGAACTAAGAACTGATAACAATGCAAAATAATTTAGTCTATAGACAATAAATTCTCTCTCCCCGTGTAAATAAATATAGACACGTAAATGATTCTTCTGACTGGGGAAGAAGACAATTTTGCTTCCATCTGCATATTCATTTCAATATTCTTGATCTAGTCTTCTAAAATCTTCCTTGGGCTCTCTCGCAAACTGATTGTAAGATCTTACTGGTTTCTTGGTTCATGAATTGAGTAAAAGCTTTCACACATGTTCATTTTATATCTGTATGAAATGATGAGTTTTATTTCGTTTTGGTCTAAGGCTCTGCTTTTCAAATCGTCCTGGTCATTGTTCTACCATCTTTGGGTTCCAGTCACAATTTAAAAAATTGCTTCAGCTATACCAATCTCTACTGCATGTAATAAAAGTGAGTATTATCATATGAAACTGTTATTTGTTATACATATGTATATTTATTCTAGGTGGATTTAAATATTTTATTTTGGATGGTCATTGTTTTGAGGTAAATTCTTGGGTCCTAATGTGTTTATTTTGTAACATTTAATTTTGACTCAATACAGATTTCTTGAGTACCTGGAGTGTTTTTAAGTCAGCCAGATGTAAAAGGAAAGTTCAAGAGCTTCACAGTTTTGGTTGCTCACTCTTTTATACTCTCTTCCCCTCCCCCAAAACTGAAGTACAGAGCAATCCAAGAGCAGTATTCAAACAGTCTGCTCTGATAATGCTGTCTTCTGGTGGTTACAAAGGACTCAGTGTAAGCCTAACACCCAGGAGACATCCCTGAGTCCAAGCCCTAATCAGTAAGATCTTGGAAGGCAGAGCCTGGCTCAGCAACTGATGGTGGATCAACAAAATTTCCTTCACAAAGAAAGGGACAACCACCACCATCAGGTGCCAACCCCTAGGTCCTTAGCTTTGGCTTGCTAGGTGGGAGACCTGGGGCAAATCCCATCACTTCTCTGGGCTGGTTTCACCATTGAAACAGGAAAAGTGACAATTGAGATACATGTGAAATTCTTCTACAAACTGTAAATCACTACACAAAAACAAGGAGTTCCTTCTCTATGACCCAACCGGGGTCCTAAAGAATGCAGGGGAGGAGAGGTCCTAATGTTTGAAAAAGCTCCCAGATGAGCCCTGGCGGGGTAGTTCAGTTGGTTAGAGCATCCTCCCTTGCTGAGCAACACCAAGGTTGGGTTCAATCCCAGGTGAGGGCACATGCAAGAATCAACAAATGGCCGTGGCTGGTGTGGCTCAGCGGATTGAGCACCAGCCTGCGATCCAAAGGGTTTGCCAGTTCGATTCCCAGTGTAGGTCATATGCCTGGGTTGCAGGCCAGGTCCCCAGCAGGGGGGCGCATGAGATGCAACCACACATTGATGTTTCTCTCTCTCTCCCCCTCCCTTCCCTCCTCTAAAAATAAATAAATAAATAAAATCTTTTTTTTTAAAGAATCAACCAACGAGTACGTAAATAAGTGGAACAACTAATTGATTTTTTTTCTCTCTCCCTTCCTCCCTAAAATCAATAAATAAAAAAAGAAATTAAAAAAGCTCCTGGATGATCCGCTATCCTCCCCCATTAATGAGCTATGTGGGCTAAAGATGCACACTGACCAGCCTGTGAATCCTTCTATATACGCACCAGGCTCTGAGTGTGTATACAGGCATTATTCTTGGGAGAGCTTGACGGTGGCAGTGATCAAGATTCAGAACTACTATTCTACAGCAGGGCTTCGCAAACTCAGCACCACTGGCACTTTGCACCAGATAATTCTTTGTTGTGGGGGATGTCCTGTGCAATGAAGGATGTTTAGCATCATCCATGGCCTCTACCTGCTAGATGCCAGAAGCATCCCCAAAATCCTGATGACCAACATTGTTAATGTCCCCTGAGATGCACTATAGAAAGAGAGATTACAGCCAAGGGTACTGCCCATCCTAAATCCCCAGTTCCCCATCAGAATCTTAGCTATTTTTACTCCTCCCTTACCAGGCCTAATGTGTCCTCAAATCTCATTCTTTTTACTCCAGATCCAGCCATCTTCCACGCCTTCCACTGCACATGGAACAATCCCCCCATGTCCTTCATGGTCTTCCCCTCTAAGTCGGTCCTTCCAATTGTCCCTACGCAGCTCAGTGCTGACAGGTTAATCTTCCTAAAGTTCAACTTTAATCATCTCTCTCCAATAAAAACCATCTCTGTCTCTGTTATAAAAGCTACACACACACCTCCACAATCTAGCTCCAGTCTTACAGACTTTCTCTTCCTCCAGTCTGACTATGGGATTTTGGACAAGGAACAAGAGAAATCTGACCAAATCAAACCAGAAAATTCAAATCAAGTCCTGGAAACGGTCTTGGGCCTGAAACACAGAAATGTCAAAATAATAAAAATATACCCTTTTGAAGGTTACATGTCTCTGATTGTTGAAGCTCAGCATCCACCAAAGGCAAGGAGTAAAGGAAGCGAAAAACTGATGGCTGAAGCAAGCGTTTTGAACTATGGTCACACCGACTGGGTCCTGAAATCAATTCCATGGTTTAGCAATAGTCTTTTGAAATGGAAAGAACAGAATAGAATAGGCTAGTCTAGGCTAGACTAGAACAGAATGTGAAGTTATGGTAATGTCTCACTATTATTTAAAGTTATCTTTCATTATTCTGCATCTACAAGCACAGGATTTGCATGTAAAATATATTTCTCAGTGTAAGTTGAAAAAAAAAAAGTTTGAAAGCCACAGAGGACAATCCACATAGTCAGAAGTGGAAGGACGTATGTAAGAACAGCAAAAAGTGCAAGGTCACTGGTACCTCCAGAGCTGCAAAGATGGGTGCCAGGGTGGAGGCAGTATGTGGTGGAGTGGACACCGCCGGGTAAAACAGGCGAATGTGGGGCTCCCTCATTTGGGATGTCAGGGATCAGTCCCACAGTGGGGTGGGTGGGGTAAGGAGGGGTGAGGTGGTGAATCCCGGGTGAAGGACAAGGGGGCGGCCTCAGCGCCAGAACCCAGAGCATGGGAACCCCCCTTCTCCCAGCATCAGCAACCGTTGGGACCGCCGGCAGAGTCGTGTCCACGTCATGGGAACTGGAACCCTCCCCGACCCGCTGGGACCCGTCCTCACCGGGCACCGGCCAGAAGGCGACTGCGGCGGGGCCCTCCCTCCCCGGCGACCGAGCTGCGGCAGGTCCTTTGGCCTCGGCCACTGCAGCCACAGGCGTCGACCTTGCGGCCCAGGCCCCTCAGGCCACTGCAACGCGATCTCCGGATCCCCGCCCCCACACAACACTCGGGAGCGAGCCCCGTGCCCGGGCGCCACCCCTCGGGGGAGCCGGCCTTTGGGAACGCCTAAGCGAGCTCCTGGTTTTCAAGCGCAGCAGAGCCCACTTTGGGGGACGAAATCCGCTTCTCCGGGTCTTCGCTGCGCGGCGCAGAGCTAGCAGCCCAACCAATTGGCGCGGGGAGGTGGGGCTAGGGCTCGCAAAAGAGGCGGGGAATGCCCAGGATTGGGTGGTGGCATCCTGGGCGGAGCCTCAGTAGGACCTGTGGCTTGTACAGTGGGATCCTGAAAGGTACCTCTCAGACCAGCGAGTGGGGGCCTTAATTGGGAACATTGGGGACATTAGGAACACAGACCTTCAACCAGGATTTGACTCCGCGCTTTAAAGCGGGAACAGAAGGGAAATTCTTTGTTTTTAAATTTTATCGATTTTTAGAGAGAGGGGAAAGGAGGGAGAGATGGAGAAAAACATCAATGTGTGGTTGCCTCTTGCTCACCCCTCACTGGGAACCTGGCCTGCAACCCAGACATGTGTCCTGACTGGGAATCGATCAGGCGATCCTTTGGTTCTCAGGTCGGCACTCAGTCCACCGAGACACACCAGCCAGGGCAGGAGGAAATTTCTTATGCACCTTATTGAAACCGTCAAATGAGTCCACCCCAACCTGGGCCAATTTGAGATTCAAAATAATGATAATGGATTATAACATTGAATAAATTTAGAACCCATGAATCTGTATGATGTAAATAAGTAAATGAGGGGGAAGGGAAAGCTCTTTCTTATAGTAAAATATATATAAGCTTAGTTTACATATGGTTACCTACATAATTTATTTTCCTAATGAAAATTTCATGTCTAAATCTATTATAAATATTGTTGCTGTGGCTGGCATCATTCCTAACATTTGGAGAGGGAGGTGAAGAATACATGGGAATCCTTTGTACACTTCTTGGAATTTTTCCGTAGGCATGAAATTATGTCTAAGTAAAACGTCAAACAAAAATATCCACCTATCCTTTATTTCAAGAAGGAAAGCATTTATTTCGCATTGGTCCCTCCCTCGCCCAAGGGTCCTGTCCAGCCTTGGCCCCTTGGTCCTGACCTCGTCCATTGGTTCAGTGGTCGCCCTTCGCACAGCCACTGGACACTCGTCATTCTCCGACCACCTTGTGCTGTGGGGACCAGGACTGACCCGGTGCGGGGAGCTGCAGGGCCTCGGCACTGCTTTCCTAGACACTTGGCTGGTGGCAACGTGAGGGGCCCCAGACGCGAGGCCCCTGCACGTCTCCCGGACGCCTTGCCTCCTCTCCCGCTAGGGCCCTGGGACCTCGCTCACCCCGACCTCCCCAGCCCTGTGGGACTGCTCCCTCCATCTGCTCTCCTTTGCCCGCCAGAGGCCCCAGTCTTCCAGCAGCACGTCCTCCGCCTCGGAGTTTGCGGAGTATAGACGCAATTCTTCTCTAGGCCACTCCGCGCCCTTTAGACGAAGTCTCTTGCTCCTCCTTCCCGTCGCTCTAAAGCAGCTGCTGGTAGCGCTCCCTGGCGCCAGGCTAGTGGATGTCCACATCCTGTAGGGCTCCCCTGCTGCACTTCCCGCCCGCTCCTCGTTTCCTTATTCTCTGTATCCTCCGCGTGCTCTGTCGAGTCTTTCTTCCACGCGTTCTCTCGCACCCTTTCCCACCCTCGACATTTGCAGTGCTCTGCCCCTTTCCTCGCATCCTCCACGTCTTCCTCGCACCTACCCTTCGCCCAGCTCCAAGTGTCTGCCCTCCACCTGCCCTCCGAGTGCTATACCCCTTCGCACTCCGCACCTCGCCGTCCGCCAACCTCCCAGTTCTCCACACCCGACCCCTCGGGGACCGAAACCGACAAAGCTCCCCGCCCTAGTGATGAGGAGCTTGTGTTATTAGGAACCGGCAGGAAGTAATAGATACACACACTGAACTGATGGTCTGTTAGAAGTAGTATAGGCTTATTGAATGTACACTGTAGTTGAAAAGTAAAGTTTTAATTAAAAGAAAAAAAAACATGCTGTAGGGAAATAAAACAGGTAGTGGGGGTGGCTGCAACTTGTACTAGACTGTAGATTGGAAGATGACAAGGAGTTAAGATCTCAATCGCATTCTCCCAGTAGCGGGCCGTCTGCCGGTCAAGATGCCAGGATGGGTGTCCTGGGTCGGTAGCGTAGGATAGTCTGGCACTGCAGAAAAACGACACTCCTAGTGGCGCTCACGGCCCGGTCACTGGGGAGGCGCCTGGATCGCCGCGGAGTCCGCCTGCGCCCTCTACGGGGCTGCCAAACGCATCAGCCACTAAATCACCGCGGGTGGGGAACCTGGGGCCCCCTGACGAGCTCTCAAAAGCAACCAAGGGAAATGCAACCCCAAGAAAAAAACATGCGTTAGCTGTACGTACAAGACCGGAGTGGAGGGTGCTTTTTTTTTTTTCTTTTTATTGATAGAACCCGGTGCTGGCAGGAATGTGCGACAGTCCGGTATTCACGGGCAATCTCACTGCTAGAGCTTTGTCCTAAGAAAACCCAAGGCTGTTTAAAACACCGATTTTCAAGTGTTTTTTTTTTTTGCCACAAGAATTTTTAAAACGTGCAATACCTGACTATCGAGGGGCACTGATTTCTTTTCCCTTAGATTGTCAAATAAATTACAACAGCAACACAATGTCCACTCAGTGTGAATGAATCAAACTTCTACCTATTTCTTTTGTCAGATTGGCAAAAAATATAATTTTGGGTGTGCTGCAGAATTTTAGTAACTAGTTTATACATGCCATGAGATGAAAAAGGTTGAAAATCGCTGGTTTAAAAGATTGTTAACAACCTAGAAACAATTGGGATACTCCAGCAGTCAGAATTTGTTATATAAACTATTACCCATCCCTGCAGTTGTATACTGTGCAGTTAGTAAATGGATGTTACAAAACCATTTGTAATCTATTAAGAAAAAAATATAAGATGCATAATCCCAATTTTCTGAATAAGAAAAATATGGATTATAAATGGATTATAAAAAATAGAAAATATTTTCTATTTTTTCAATGACCATGAATTACCTTTTCTTTTAGCTTGAAGATGAATAAAAGCTCTTTTTAAAAAAGGAAATGCATAGTCATCCTATTTACTTCTTATCCCCACCATAATTAATGCACCACCCACCCGCTCACAGAGTACAGAGCTGGCTGGCACCAATCTTCCACCTCTGAGAATTTTCTGCTCTGTTGAACACTCATGGGGACCACTCTTCTCACAGGAACACGACCGTCCAGTAGAATGCCAATGTGTGGAACTAGAATGGGTCACTTTCCCCTGTCCCTTCTCCTCCTACTGGGTGGCACTGTCACCCCTCAGCTGAATAGGTCAGTCCTCTCTCCCTCATGCCCAGTCCCCCAAGCAAAACAATCTGTCACCGGGCCTGGCTCAGCCTCCTTCCAGGCTCTCCTATCTCCTCTTCCTCTCCTCTCACCCAGGCAGTGGAGCCTCCTCAATGGCTTTCCAGCTCCCACTTTGTACCACACCAGTCCATCCTCATGGTGCCTGGGGGAATTTTGTATAACTATGTTGACCATATCCCTTCTCTGCACGAATCCTTCCCCCGCCTCCCAATACCCATGAGAAATCTGAAACCCTCACTGCGGACTCCAGGCCCTGAGCCACCAGCATCTGCCCACCATTGCTGCCTCCTGGTCTTCCTGCCCTGCTCCCTCTGGGCCCTACACTTAATCCTCTCAGGCCCACTCTCCTCACCCTGCAGCTCCCTGTAAGGGCTCCCTCAGGCTGCTCTCCCTGAGCCCACCGACTCAGGACCCTGTTGGATGCTGTGGCGCACCTGGCCTTCTCCTGAACAGCCTTGAACTCAGTTTTCATGAACTTACCAGTCAGAAAGTTCTGTGTTTCCTTTCTAGCCCTGGGAATCCAGAGCTGTGACCTAGATCCCAAGCAGCCTGCTCTGGACAGATATTAAGATCTCCAAGAAGTGAAAGGGCAAGAAAGTAGTAGGAGGGAGAGGGAGAAGGGGAGAGATGTGAATCTAGGTGAGGGCTACACCATGTCCCCTGCACTGTTCTTCAGCTTTCATGGACATTTGAAATGCTTCAAAATAAAGAAAATCTTGACACTGCTGGCCCCAGTGTGTGGGCTCCCAAATTGGCTCAGCAGTGGCTTCCTGCCCCAAGGTACTGAAGGCCTTCCAGGCAGATGATGGGCACCACCTGACACTCAGGAGGGAGATAGGCCCTTGCTCTGCCCTTAAACAGCCTCCAGCAGCCACCAAGTCAGCCAAGCCCCTCACTGGGGACATGAGTACCCAGCCTGCAGCTTCCCTGGTAGTAGCAGGAGGAGTCAATAATGCTACAGTAAAGTTCAGGGAGTGGACGGGCCAGGGTTAATCCTCTCTAACCCACCCAGGCTGGGACAGCCTGGACACCAGGCTGAGTGGCTGAAGTCCTGCCTTGCCTGCCCACTCTCCTCACATCCTCTTCTTCTCTACTGCTTCCCTGGTGGCACCTGACCATCACACATCACACCCTGGGCGACTCCTCCTGCATTCTTACCATCAGACAGAACCAGCCCACTGAAAGGATGGCTCAGATCTGAGGAAAGGAGGGATTGGTGGGTAAGAGGAATCTATTTAAATATAGAATTAAGACAAAAGAACATTTCAAGTTATGGTTACAGAATATAAACATTATAAACAAACAGGCTGTAAAAATAAAATAGCAAAATGGAGAGCTGGCAAGGAAAAGAAATGTGCTAAGTATCCTCCTCTCCTGAGAATGAGTCAGTAGATACTGATTACATTTGGAAAATGTTGTTTTAAAACATAAGGCCTCTGAACTCTACATTTTAAAAATAAGCCATTTCCTTGTGACCAGTGGCAGTTTTCAAAGAATGAGGACCACACGTGATGAAGCAACCGAGGCAGAAACCCTTCCAGTGGGGGTCTCTGGGGGATCCTGACTTCTGGTTGAAGGCGAACTGCTTCTCCACCTCCACCTCCAGCAGCAGCAGCTGACCCAGGGGCGGGGGAGGGGCTCAGGTTCCTGGTCATCTCCCTCAGCCCACAAATCCACCTGGAAGGAACATGATGGGAGGGAGCACCACACACTCCTGTCATGGTCCCCACCCCCAAACTGCAGGCCCACACCCTCCTCAGTAGAACCCTGGGCCACCATGGTTGCAGGGCCCCTGTGCAGCGGGCTGTCAGTCCTGTGTGGCTTCCTGGAGGAGGTGAGGCTTCTGAGTCTCACAGGAGCAGGCTGACACTCCAACAAGGGAACAACCCGCGGAAGGAGAGTCAGGGAGGGGCTGGATCAGCTTCCCAGAGGGTCAGGGCCAGCAGTCCCACTGCCCACTTTCAGACCAAGGCAGAAGGAAAGAAAACCTCAGAGACCCCACCAGTCTCTGGACCAGCGGCTGGTTTTTCAGACTGAAGGTGCCCCAGGGGTGTGAGGCCATGAGGGATGACCTCCGAGAGCCACCCTGGGTCTGATAGATAGCCCAGGCCAGGCAGCCCTGGAGAAGGGTCATGTGAGGGCTGGTAGCGTGGGCAGGGTCCTGGGGTGTGGGGTGGGGTTGGAGTTGTGCCTCAAAGGACCCAGATCCTGGAATTTATACAACCTGTTCATGATGGGATCTAGCATGTAGCTTATTTTATTATGTTTAGGGGGCGAGGGGGGGGTGTTTTGTTGGGTGGGGTTTTTTTGTTTGTTTTTGTTTTTTGGCTTACAAAAGCACTTGAGCTGAAACACATTACACGTTGTTCAGAGTGAAAATCAGTCAGGGACTGGGCCCCAGGCAGAAGTCACAGCCAAGTTCACTGACCCATCAAGGATGCTTCACCTGCAGTTGTCACGGTTATGTGGCCTTGCTGGGCCCGAGAGAGGACTCCTCCCTGCCCACTGTAGGACTGGGGGCAGGCCTCCCTGCCAACCTTCCGTCTTCTTTTCCTTCTGGAAGAGAAGGGGGTGGGTCAGGCTGGTATCAGAGGAAAAGGGAGGGGTGGGGGTACCACTGACTGGCTTAGAAAAGTAATTGCCAACTCCAGAGATATGCTCCCAAAGGCCACTGAGGCTGCTAAAGTCATTTCTGGGAAACTCTGGGCCAAATATGTGCTCAGCACTAGGAAGCTGCTGCTATCTCCACTTTCTGGCCTGGGATAGAGCAGGAGGTGGAGAAAGTGTGGACTAGGTACAGCAGTAATGATGGGGAGGCAGGTTGAGGGAGCTGTTGACTTCTGGAGTGCCTGCTGCGGTGCCCACCCAGGGGAGATGTGGGGCCGAGTGGCAGTCCTTGTTCAGTCCTCCATCTGAGGAAGGGTGGCTTTGTTCTAACTCTCACAATAGTATGTGTGGAGTGGGGCCCATGTAGCTCTAGAACCTGGGCCGATGCCTACGCAGAGGTCTCAGACAGGGTGGGAAAGACCCTGGAGATTACCCGATCCACTGAGTTGGGAAAAACAAGCTCTGAGCCAGATGTCCCCTCTTTACCCTCTGCAGTGATCAGCTGCCGGCCTCAGGGTAGGAACTTGGCCTTTCTGAGCTTTGCTTCTCAACAAGTCATGGGGCAGCAAACTCTACCCCCTGGGCTGGCAGGAAGCAGGTAGATACAATGGAGATACCTAAACCACAACTGGCTGGTAGAAGTGCCCACAAGGTGAGCGGGGCATGCTGCAGAGAGGCCTCCAGGTTCTGCGGAGATGAGGCCCCCAACTCCCTGATTGCAGCTCCTTTCCAGCAAGCGATGGAGGGCAAGGGGTTCTTTAGGTCTCCTGTGAGCTTCAGGCCTGTAGCCGGGGTGCCCCAATCTCAGGAGCCCTGAAGCCTCAGGAAACAGCAGGGCCTCCCCCCAACTTCAGAGCACTCTCCACTGAATTTCCATCAGTGAGGAGGGGTCAATTGCAATGCTCAGCTACATGATGGAAACCAAGAGGCTTTGGTGTCCCTCCCCTAAGACTGGCTGCCAGCTCGAGTACCCTGACTGACTCCAAGGAGGCCTCCTGTTCATAGGCAGCAAACAGAGCCAACTGCTGTGGCTTTAGTTTTCTCTATCTTTTTAGGACATGGCGGACCCCATTTCCAGTTGAAAAGAAACTCCAGCTCATCTCCTTCCCAACCAATAGACATCCCCTCCCCCAGGCAGCCCTCAGGATTCTACTTACCACTGTCATCTGCACCAAGCCTGGGAGGTGGCAGTAGGGGTGGGGGCTTCAACTTGGGGCCTCAAATAGACTCTGCACAGAAACATGCACACACAGACCCCGAGACAAATAAACACACAAACATATAATAGCAGAACTAGACAGAAATAGCCCCAGGGACATGGACACACAATGACACACATATAGACACACCCTCCCAGGCAAATACATATGTAGACACAGAACCCTAACACACATGTATGGAAGCTACAAACACACAGAGATTTACACTGAGATGTATCATGGAAAGACAGAACATCCACAAACACATTCACGGGACAGGCACATTCTCTTCAGAGCCCCACTAGCCTGTCTATCACTTCAGCTGCCCAGGTGTCAGGGGGCTTCCGGCCCCAGGGAAGTTTTGCTTTCTGGGACCAGGGCCTCACCTGTGTCCAGCTTCCTGCATTTCTGTTCAGGCTCCTGGGGGGCGGCCTCAATGGCGCGCTGGGCCTCAGGATGGATCTTAAGAAGGGCCTTGGCGAGGGTGGTGGGGCCAGGCACCCCCAGAGACATGATGCAGTGCACTCCTTTGCGCTTGGCTGCGGCCACTTTGGCACTGTCTTTGGAGGCTGTCAGCAGGACCAGTTTGGAGAACTTCCTGGGCTTCTTGGGGGCTGTAGGGACAACATCTGTGCCAGTCTCAGGGGACTCAGGGGACAGCTCCTGACCGGCCTTCACACTCTCACTCTCCTGCTCGCTGGGCTCAGGCAGGGGCATTCTGGGACCGACAGCCTGTCCCCCAGGCCGCGCTGAGGCCCCCGTGGATGGATTTCTACTCCTCCTCCCTGGCAAGGGAACCGGCAGTCCAGGGGCTCTGTCCTAAGAGAGGATACAGCCCCCCATTAGTGAAGCCTGGGGCTCAGGGGAGCGGAGCTGGGGTGCCGATCGGGCAGATGGGGCACCAGGGTGGGCAGGGACCTGAACGGAGAAGCCTGGGCCCCTGCTTCTGCTCGGCCAGTTCCTCTCTGGGCAGCAGTGAGTGTGTCGCCTCCCCCATCCAAACCTCACCCCCGCCCCCCCGCCATGTAAAATGTGCCAAACACAGGGCTCTTGGCGCGGGGAGGGGGCTGTTGGGGGACTGAGATGCTGATAACCGAGTTCCTACAAATCGAGGCCCGCAAATCGAGGCCCGTAAATCGAGGCCCGTGTGAAACACGGGGCGAAGTGTTTCACAGGTTTTTCCATTTAACCTTTCAGCCCCCGTGTGGTAAACGTTTACCATTCTTACTGACCCCGTTTACAGATGAGGACACTGAGCCGTGCCAGGGCCACTATCAGCCATGAAGCAGCAGAGCTGGGAGTCCAGCTGGGGAAGATCCGGAGCCCAGCTTCACACGACACCCGGCGTACCTTGTCCAGGCTACGTCACTGGTGTTCCTGAGCACCAAGCATCCGAGACAAGCCCTGGGGACGTGAGCTCAGGTCATTGGCCCTTCCAGAATTCCCAGCCCCTTTTCACCCTGACACTCTGCAGACCAGAGCTCCTGGCCCTGGAAGGGTAGGACTCTCTGGACTCACAACTAGATCCCGTCCCCGCCCCAGGCAGGAGGCCTGGGGCCACCCAGAGCTCGGGAGGTGCCGGGGATCCATGAAGGCAGCAACCTCGTGCCTGAGCTGGTGCTGGGGCTGGTGCTGGCGCTGGCTGGGATAGGCGGGGACAGGGTATGGAGTTGTCCAGAGAATCTATGGTCACTGAGGGCTCCCTGGCTTCTGGACTGGAGAAGCAGAAAGGATACATTACCAGGGCCAGGCTGGTCTGAAGACTATAGCCCTGGGATATCAGCGTGGGGTGGCCTTGTTTTGGGGGCAACTAGGTGCTGGGTGAATGGCACATCTTCCCAGTTTAGCCCAGAAACAATGCTGCAGTCTGGAGATATCTCTTGCCTGTCCTGTCTCAGACCCAGGCAGTGTGGCAAGGCCTACAGATGCCCACCTGTACCCCTGGACCTGTTTCTTCAACTGGCTCTGTGGTTTCGACTGTTTCTTTATTCCTGTGTCCTCACATAGTCTTCCCTCTGTGTGTGTATATTGTAATATCTTTTTAAAAAGTATATTGATTATACTATTACAGTTGTTCCATTTTCGCCCCTTTTATCCCCCTCTGCCCTGAACCCCTGCCCTCCAGCTTTCCCCCCCGTCCCTTAATTCATGTCCATCAATTGTACATGTAAGTTCTTTGGCTTCTCCATTTCCTATACTATACTTAACCTCCCCCTGTCTATTTTGCTTCTATTTACTAGAGGCATTTTTGAGGTACCCACAAGCGGGTTGTACCTTTCTGGCGCTGATTCCCGGGTGGGTGGGTATACATTCTAGGACCTCGTGGGCTCCTCCAATGGACTCTCCTGTGAGACTGGCAGTTTCTCTCACTGTCTTAACCCCCACAGGTTTTTACAGCCAGAGGTTTTGAAGCTTTCTTTCCCTGTGCTGAAACCCTGGGTTGCGCGGTCTGTGTTGCTTCCCAGTTGTTCCTCTCGGTTTATTTGCACACAAATGTGGGACCACCTGGTCCACCAGCCACTGCCTTGCCATGTGTCCTCCCCTCCCTGGCTGCTGGTTTCTGCCCCTCCTTCCAGTCTGGATGCATGTTTCTTCTTTAACACTTTGGCTGTTGGACTTCCACACAGTTCAATTTTCTTGCAGTTCTGGTTGTTTTTTGTTTTTAAATTGGTTGTTATCCTTTTGGCTGTGCGAGGAAGTGATGTGAATCTACCAATGCCTCCATCTTGGCTGGAAGCCTCACATTTTAATATCTTCTTATAAGGACTCTGCTCATATTGGATTGAGGCCAAGCTAATATGACACATTTTAACCTTAATTACCTCTTGGAAGGCCCTATCTCCAATATAGCCACATTCTGAGGTTCTGAGGGTTAGAACTTCAACATATAAATTTGGGGGCAGGCACAATTCAGTACATAACAGCATAGAGCATGGTAAGTGCCCAGTAAATCATAGCGCCCTGTCTGGTGTGGCTCAGTGGATTGAGTGCTGGCCTGCAAACCAAAGGGTCGCCGGTTCCACTCTCAATCAGGGCACATGACTGTGTTGTGGGGCAGGTCCCTCATTGGGGGCACATGAGAGGCAACCACACATCGATGTTTCTCTCCCTCTCTTTCTCCCTTCCTTCCCCTCTCTCTAGAATAAAGAAAATTTTAAAAAATATATCATAGGTTGTTGTATCCCTATATCTTGATCCCAACCTTCCATGCATGTTCAAACCGAGAGCATGCTCCCAAAAGGGAGGAGCACACGGGGCCTGCACATGAGACTAAGGGCTATTCGCTCAGGAAGGAGCTCTCAAGCCAGCTGGATCTTAGCACAAAGGCCTCCACAGTTCCAAAAGATCTGCTTGTTATCCAGGGGAGCCAGAATAGGCTTATATGGGTTTTTTCCCTTTAGATCTTCATTCAAATAAATAAATAAATAAATAAATAAAATGCTTGTAGAAACCATCTTCATCCAAGAGCTACCAGTTTGAAAACATATTCCTGCACAACAGACAGCCCTCCTACACTGCTGAAACACCACACTTAGTTTATCCAGATTTAGCTTTCTAACCAAAGGAAAGCAATGAGATAGATTATATTTAGCTCATTTAAAAATTTTGAAATATTTAATTGAAAAAAGTTATATAGAACAATTAAACAATAAGAGTAAATCTGCATAATCCTATCATCCTATCACAAACTGCTTTCATTTCTGCATTGTTTCCCACATACATTTTTCATAGCTATAAGCAAAGCTTTCAAATAATTGTATTTCCTGTTTTCTTTCCATTTATTAGGGTAGAAAACATCAGCTTAGAGACCAGGTGTAAAGACCCTAATAAAGTACCAGAGCACAATTTAATTCATCTCTGCAGTTGTGGAAAATTCAATTTAAACATTAAGCAACAGTATTCTAGAAGGCCACAAAATAGAGATGTTGCTCCTTAAAATGAACCATTTTTACCAAGATTTTAAAAAAAGAGAGAGAGGACACAAGGGGTAAAAAAGGAAAAGTATATTAAGATTTAAAGTGTTTATATTTGGTTAAAAAAAAATCATTGTTAGAAAATCTAATGAACACATTTAGCAAAGATGATCTTTTCTAGGCTAAAGCAACTGTACATTTTTTTCCAAAAGACAAAGACCAAGAACTTTGGTCCCTGTCCTGTGTCTTTGTCTCTCAACTCACTTGTCTTTCCTTTTATTTATTCTCCATTCCAGTCATATTTGTCATGTATTTACTAATTTTATTTGACCTGTTCTTAACTTAAAAAGCAGGTGCTTTCTAGTCTGTTTGCAAAGAATTATATAAAAATGCACTAAAGCCAACTAAAAAGTAATTTTTCAAAATATTAGCAGTGGTGGGAATGAGGGATTTCATTTTTTTGCTAGTTTTCTATTTTTTTTCTAATTCTCCATTACATAATTCTCCATTACATAAATTGTAATGTTTATGAACAACTTTTACAATGGGAAAATATTTGACATTTAAAAGTAAAGATTAATGTAAACAATTAGAATTTAAAATGAAGAAAATTAGTGAGGAAAAGAGAATACACCCTGCCCCTCTGGCACTCTTGTCCATGTTCAACATTAAAATGACCTGCCCAGAGCCATGCCATTGGTCCTCAAACTGGGATCTGAGCCAGGAACAAAAGTCCTATGGCATTAGCCCATACCTCCAGTACCATACATAACCTAACAATCTTCCTTCCAAGTTTCACCGTCATCCTTGCTTTGCCTCTGGTAGGACTGAGACGCTTAGGGACTTAAATAAGTGTCTCAAAAGAGCAGAGACAGAAGGAGCCAAAACTTGAACTCAGGTCTAGCTGGTCCAGACCCAACATTCTTCAGCTGCTCCTCCTTGTGCAGCTGAGGCTTAAAGTGAGAAACGCCAGTTACAGAAGAAAGTTCATCTAGAAGTTCAGAGTAAGTCCTCAGGATATACCCAAAGAATAAAATACATATCCATTAATTCACACTGATAAAAATAATTGAATGAATAAATAAATAAATGGGAGGAGAAAGGACAAGTCAGCTTCATAAATAATTCCAAAAAATACACACTTCCCCTTTCCAGAGGTGAAGATTAAGTCTGACCCATGATGAAAGGGGAAAGAATAGGCTTTTCAACAAATGTTGAATGTTGGAACAACTAGATGTCCAATACAAAAGAATGAAGAAGGAAGTGAGGACTCCTTCCTCACACCATATACAAAAATTAACTCTAAATAGATCATAGACTTAGTTGTAAGTGCTAGTTATAAAACTCTATTTAAAAAGAGATAGCTCTGGCTGGTGTGGCTCAGTGGACTGAGCATTGGCCTGCGAACCAAAAGGTCACCAGTTCTGTTCTGGGTCAGGGCACGTACCTGGTTGCCAGACAGGTACCTAGTTGGGGGCATGCAAGAGGCAACCAGTTGATGTCTCTCTCACGCATAGATGTTTCTCTCCCTCTTTTTCTCCCTCCCTTCTCTGTGAAGAAAAATAAATAAATAAAAATAAAAATATAGGAGTAAGTCTTCATGACCTTGGATTAGGCAAAGCTTTCTTCAATATGACACTAAAAGTACAGACAACCAAAGAAGAAACAGATAAATTGAAGAAAATTTTAAACTTTTGTGAGTCGAAGGATGGCGTCAAGAAAGTTAAGACAACCCATAGAATGGGATAAAATTTTTGCAAACCATATATTTAAGAAAGCACTTTTACCTGGAATTTATAAAGACCTCTAACTGTTATAAAAAGACAAAGAAGAAATGTAATAATGAGCAAAGGCTATGAATAAGCCTTTTGGTAAAGAAACTATTTAAATGGCTAATAAGCACATGAGATGTTCAACATCATTAGTCATCAGGGAAAAGCAGAACAAACCCATAATGAGATACTACTTCACACCACTAGGATGCACATCAGTTGCTTTTCTGGATTCATCCCGAGCCTTCTATAAATGTATTTTCTAGGTGTAAAGAGAAGGGTTGAGAGGCAGGTACTTTAAGTCAAATATATGTATTTTGAGAATTAAATTTTTACCCAGTAAAAGTACAATAAATAAACAGAATTTTTAAAAGTGAAGCAGTATTCTGGCCGGAGTGGCTCAGTTGTTTGGCATATCGTCCAGTAAGCTGAAAGGTCACGGTTTTGATTCCTGGTCAGGGCACATGCCTGCACATATTTGAAGCAACCGATTGATGTTTATCTTCTCACCTCGATGTTTCTCTCCCTCTCTCTCTCTCTCTAAAATCGGTAAGCATGTCCTTGGGTGAGGATTAAAAAAAAAAAAAAGTGAAGCAGAAATGAATTATAAAGATCAAAAGGCTTAACAGGTACCTTACTCTCCAGGTACCTTACTAGGTTTACACACTCCCCATAACTGTGTAACCTCGTGGTTTTATATTGCTGTG